GGACACTACACATCCTCTTCTTGAACTGTTTTCCTTTGTTACCTTCTGGGAGGAGGAGGCTTCGTGGTATCCATAGCAGAACATCCAGATTCAGCCATAGTTTCATTCCATACAGCATTAACCTTGTGAACTCTCAAGCTTCTTCCTTCCATTATATATTCAAGATGGACAGTATTTAATATTTATTTGTTACATACTATATATATAGGGGTGTGGGTCTATACATATGTTGTATACAGTATGTTTGGGTGTGTGTCATGTATGTGTTTTACTTTGAGAGCAGGCAACTAAATTTTATTTTTTGATGTGTGCCGTTGTGCCCACAGTAAAAAAATATAACAATAAAGGTTATCTTATCTCAATCACTGCAGGTGCTGCAGCATCCCATCCCACTCTAACCCCTTATATTCCTACTTGACACCTTGTCCCTTCTTCCTTCCCCTATCACCTATCGGGCTAACATTCCAAAAACAATCTAGAGAGAAAAACATTGCAAGCAAACAAAGCATTTAAATGATGAAGAACAGCAACAGTAAAGGAGAAAACCAAACAAGAAGCTAAAAAAAAACCAAGTGGAAGAAAAGTGAGTGAAACATAAACTAGAGGTCATTTCTTGCATCCAGGTTATATCGCAGCATACCTTGGAAAAAGAAGATAGCAATCATTCTGATCCTCCCTTTGTGCATGGAAACAGTGCCCCCAAATCTCCTTGTGATACTGCTATATTTCAACTCACAGCCACATTGGAAGTTGCCTATATTTGTCTTTAGTTATAATGTTTTCAAAATAGTGTTTTCCCTTTCTCACAGGAAAAAGCGTTTGTGTGCAATGCAAAAGACAGGATGTCCCACTACAAAAGACACAACTGAGAGAATTAAAGATATTGTTTCAATATTCACTGAAAAAAACCAATATATAAAAGCAAAAATGGGATACCAATGAATAACCTGGATCTGCAAGGATGGAGTCAGGAAAGCTACGGTTCAGAATGAACTAAGATTGCAACAAATGCCAAAGAAGGAAGCCAAGAAAATGATAGGTCCACTAATGAGAGAAGATGGCAAGACAGTGATGGGAAGCAAGCAGAAAGTAGAACTGCTTAATTCCTTCTTTGCATCTGTTTTCATGTAAAAGGAAAAATAGTCTATCCAATAAAAAAACAGCACTGTAGGAGACAGAACAGGAAAGTAGGCAAAAAATGTAAGCAGGAATAGCCAACATAGGCAAAAATTAGCAAGAGAACACCTTTCCAGGTTTCTGAAGGAGCTGGCAGATGTGATCTCAGAACTAACTGAACAAGATGTTTCAGAGCTTCTAGAGAACCGGGGAAATGCTAGAGTACTGGAAAAAAGCTCAATGTAGTTCCAATCTACAAAAAAAGGGGGGAAAAGCAGATATATATACATTGCTTACTGGTGTACACCGCTTAGAGAGTGCTTGTACTTAAAGCGGTATATAAGTCTCATAAATAAATAAATAAATATCAATACCTTGATATCAAATCCTAGAAAAGCAGCGGATTTCTGAACTTCAGAAACGAACAAGGAGATTAATAGAAGCCACCATGGGTTTGTTAAGAACAGATCATGCGAAACAAACCTTATTGTCTTCTAAATTAGTGGATCAAGGAAATGCTGTGTATACTGTATAGTATACTTAGACTTCAGTAAGGCATCTGACAAAGTAGATCGGAGCCTACTTCTTGGTAAGATAGAACAATGTGGGATAGACACTACCACCATCAGATGGATTTGCAATTAGCTGACCAATAGCCCTCAGCATATAGCCCTCAATGGAACTACATCTATATGAAAGGAAGCAAACAGTGAGGAATCTCAAGGTTCTGTCTTGGGCCCACTGCTCTTGAACATCTTCATAAATTATCTAGAAGAGGGGATAGAAGGGGAACTCCTCAGATTTACAGACAGCACCAGGCCGGGGATGGGGTGGATTGTTAACACTTTGGAAGATACAGTAGATTCAAGATTCAGAAAGATCTTTACAGACTTGAACCCTGGGTCCTATCCAACAAGATGCAGTTCAGTGGTGAGAAAAATAAGGTCCTGCACTTAGGCAGGAAAAACCAAATGCACAATTATAGAATAGGTGATACCTGGCTCATCAGTAATAACTGCGAAAGTAGGTGTCTTAGTCAACCACCACTTAAGGATGAGCCAGCAGTGTGCTGCAGCTGTGAAAAAACTCAGTGCAGTTCTAGGCTACATCAACAGAAGGATAGTATCAAGATTAAGACAGTGATAATATTGCTCTTTACTGGACTAGTGAATCCACACTTGTTACGCATCCAGTTCTGTTCGCCACAATACAAAAAAAATTCTGAGGCTCTATAAACGGTGCAGAGAAGAACAGCAAAGATGACAGTAGGTTTGGAGACTAAACAGTATGATGAATGGTATGGGGAACTAGGTATGATTAGACCAGAGATGAGGAACTATGGTCCCTTGTGAACGTCAATTCCCAGAATTCCTAAGGCAGCATGATCTAGACTAATAAAGAGACAGATTAGGAGTGACATGTTAGCTGTTTCCCAGCGCTTAAGGGTCAGTCACAGAGAGGAGGGGGTTGACTTATTGTCCAAGTCACCTGAGGGTAGAACAAGAAACAATGGATTCATTAAAGAGAGTTCCTACCTGGAACTAAGGAGAAATTTCCTAACAGTGAGAGCAATTGACCAATGGAACAGCTTGCCTCCTGGAGTTGTAAGTGTTCCATTGCTAAACATTTTCAAGAAAAGACTGGACAACCAATGGGATGGCATAAGGATTCCTGCCTTGGACAGGAGGTTGGACTAGAAAACTCTAAGGTTCTTTTTAGCCCTATGATTCTATAACATTTCTTTAACAAAACTTACATGGAGAATGGCACAGATATGGCATAGAAAAAGTTGGCTTCTCTTCACTGGGTAACTTGGCCAAATTAAAAGTAAATGAAAGAATGAGCAGATTCAGATTCTTCTATTCTTAACAACTCCATGAAATTGATATTGAAATTAGCACTTAAAAACTAAATGATACTACTATTCTACTTAGCAATACAATCCTGACCTCTAGTGGAAAATTACATATTGACAAAACAAAATCACACTGAACTACTTCATGTCAGTCACTAAAAAAGAGCTAGAATCATAAGCCATACATACTGACTATATTTGGGGGTATCTAGTGGAAAATACAGATAATGGAATGGAATAGCATAGCATTAGAATAGAATAGAATAGAATAGAATAGAATAGAATAGAATAGAATAGAATAGAATAGAATAGAATAGAATAGAAGCTGGAAGGGATCTTGGAGGTCTTCTACTCCAGCCCCCTGCTTAGGCAGAAGAACCTATACCATTTCAGACAAGTGACTATCTAGTCTCTGCCTTAAAACTTCCAGTGATGGAGCACCCACGATTTCTGAAGGCAAGCTGTTCCACTGGTTAATTGTCCTCACTGTTAGGAAGTTTCTCCTTAATTCCAGATTGCTTCTCTTTGGTCAGTTTCCAACCATTGTTTCTTATCCTGCCCTCTGGTGCTTTGGAGAATAGTTTGATGCCCTCTTCTTTGTGGCAGCCCCCCAAATACTGGAATACTACTATCATGTCACCCCATTTCTTCTTTCCTTTAGACTAGCCAAACCCAAGTCCTGCAGCTGTTCTTCATATGTTTTAGTCTCCAGGCTTTTGACCATTTTAGTTGCTCTTCTCTGAACTTTTTCCAAGTGATTTTATCAATCAACAACTGCAAATCCATTCTGTTTGTTGAAACCTTCTGAGATTATTTGAAACCTTTTGATGTATCACCAGTGTTCAGCAATTTCTCAGGGGTACTGTTTCCCCAAAATAGTAATTTTGAAGTTTACCATATAGTATGCCAAGGTTAAAACTGTCTAATATCACTTTGTCCTGAAGTCAAACTTGTGATTATTAATTTTTTGTATGTGACATTTTTCCTATATAAAATCCAAGGGAAAATTGCTGGAAGATAAGGGCATCAGTCACATTGGAAGAAGAGCATGTAAAGGATTTTAATCTCTACTTCTTGTGGCCTATGATGCTCCTAGTTTAGATGTAAAGACATAACAGATATCTGGATTTTTTACTCAAATCTTTCAAACTTCGTGAAAAAGAATGAACACATACTTTTAAGACAAATCCAGGACAAATAGGTTAGTTATATATCTTTCTACCTTTATTCCAATTTATTTCCTAGTCACTCTGTGTATCTGATGAAATAAGCTGCAACTCACAAAAGCTTGTCTTTTAATAAAATTTCTTAATTAAAAAGAGACTTCTGATTTCTTGCCATTAACATACTTTTCCTCATACAATACTAAGGGGACAGTTAATTTATTGTATAATAAGAAAGATTGTCAGTCAATAATTTATTTCTTTTTCTGAAATTGTTTCCATTTTTTTGAAAGACAGATATGAGGTGGTGTGAATTTGATAAAACACTTCCTGTACGTATCAAATTCACACCTCATATCTGTGTCACTTCGGTCCTTCATGTTAAACAAAACCTGGAGTAAAACTATTAGATATATCACACATATCACTTGATAATGCCCAGTGACATCTATAGCCAGTATCACCGGCCTCATTTTCTATAAAGTTTCAGAAAACTTCCATTCCATTATTTCCTAAAATATTCCTGTCATTTGGTAAAAAGTTCACATCTTTTACCCAATAAAAGAACAACACACAGGAATAGCATCCAATTCCTTTCATCTGTGTACCTTTTGCTTCTGAACGAATATTTTACAGTCAATCTTATCTTAAATAGTGTCAGTTGACTGATAGCAATCATAATAACGTGATTTATTTTGTGTTATTTATTACTATTACCAATTATGATAATTGACTTTATAACGATAACATGGACTTTTAGAGCCTGCCAGATCAACTTAGCTCGAATTAATTTGGTCTCACAAGGTATAATTAAACATTCCTCCGTTCTTATGACGACCGCCGCGGCGTTCCATCCGGCTACGTTATTCCCATCTCAACGACTCCGGAAGTGCTTATAGCGGAAGTTGCAAGAGGGTGAAAAAAAGGGGGATGGTAGGTTTTAATCTTGTCTGCTGTTGCGAAAGGGGTGTCTCTTTGTGTGAATGTTAGGGGTGGGGTGGGGTGGGGGCCTGAGGCTAGTTTTTGCTTTTTTAAAAAAAAACTGCTTAATATTCGGAATTGGGAAGCTACTTACGACTGCGGGATTGTAAAGCATGACGATAATACTCGTAGGCGACCGTTTTGCTATTTGATGTTTATTAATTTATTTCTGAAAAAAAATATGCATTGAGATGGTCCGGTAACCACCTTTTGATTTAATACACGGCCATCCAGTAAATATTTTTTGTTGTTTCCGCATACAGATTTCTAACCGAGATTTCTTAGTTTAACACTTCAATTGCTGTTTTGTGCTGATTGATAAATTCTGCGGCTACGGGACTTGGGTTTGGCTAGACCACTGGTGGGCAACCTGGGCTCTTTTATGACTCATGGACTTTCAGGAATTCTGGGAGTTGAAGTCCATGAGTCATAAAAGAGCCCAGGTTGCCTATCCCTGGGCTAGTCTAAAGAAAAGAAGAAACGGGAGACATGATAGCAGTATTCCAGTATCTGAGGGGCTGCCACAAGGCAGAGGGGGTCAGGTTGTTCACAACAGCACCAGAGGGAAGGACGAGAAACAATGTTTGGAAACTGATCAAAGAGAGAAGTAACCTGGAATTAAGGAGAAACTTCCTGACAGTGAGGACAATCAACCAGTGGAAAGATTACCCCCTGAAATCATGGACACTTCATCACTGGAGATTTTTAAGAAGAGACTAGACATTCACCTGTCTGAGACAGTATAGGTACTCCTGCTTAAGCAGGGGGCTGGACTAGAAGACCTCCAAGGTCCCTTCCAGCTCTATTCTATTCTATAGGGAAAAGAACCCATCAAAACTTGTCAGAAAAGGTAGATACAACAGTCATGTCAGGGTGACAAGAAAAATAACATAGTTCTGTGTGCTTTTCTATAGGAATCAACCATGGTACATATTAAGAGATTTACACATGGATGCATGTGTACAGTAACACAGCCTAAAGTTTATTATGGGAAAAGTTGTCAAGAAATGAAAATAATTGTCTGATTTACTAGACAATTGCTCAAAATGCTCAACATGCTCAAAAATACATAAGATCAAAAGTTAATATATTAATGTTAAACCCATTTTCTTTCCAATTTTGTTTCCTAAAATCAGTTGATCGGTCAGATATTGGAGACTATTTGAGAATCAAATACAGTCAAAATTTTCAAGTATGCCATTCTGTAGAGATGCTAGTTCCTGTTTTAATTTTCCCAAAAATGTAACTTATTAGCAAGGCCAAAAATAAAGCTAATATTTTAGTATAAATTGCTATCTAATGTATTTGATGTTATAGGTTGCGGCAAATACCGAATTAGGGCTCCTGGACAATGCAGAGACCATAATTTCTTCTCAGGTACATCCAAATTTGCAATCTATTTGCATTTTCAGAATTCAGGTGAAGCTGTTGAGAAATGAGTTCAACACATAATCTGCATTCCTAGCTCAGGTTCTGTTTCTTTTAAGATGGAACTCTCTTGAATTAGCTGGTCAGTAAGTTTCTAAAGGTTAACCTCCATGTTCTTGAATGTTAGCCGTTAAGTGCACTGTAAGAACCTATAAGAATTGATAATGCTGTAGGAAGAATAAAAAGTGAATAGTTTCAAGCTTGTCCATATAGAATAGAGACCGTATGAATGTATTTAATGATGTTTGATGTATTCAGTATATACCTCTAATCCTGTAGTTCTGTGGATTTTGTCTAAATCTGAATATGTTACTACGATACTTTATATATCAAAATTGTGTATATTTTGTAATTTAGTATGATAAAAATCTTTGATTATCCCCTCATTTATTTTGCCAATGTTAAATGAATAGACATTTTTATTACTCTGTTCCCTTGTTTGATCCCATATCTCTTCATATGAGCATTCAAAGGATGATGTGAGCATGTAAAAGGTGATGGAATATTAGGAATGCATTCTTCTAGCAGAACACCACTGGATCTAATCCATTTAATATGTCTGTATTTCATTTTTGGAAAATGCATATGTTCCAAATAATTGAAAAATAGTGTGCTAGTATCCTTATTTCTTTTGTATCTTTATTATTATTGTACAATACACTTTTATTTCCTTACTTCTTTCAGTTGTAGAAGTATTAAACATGGACCTTAACAATTCAGACCCTGCTCCTCATTTAAGAATCTAAAAGGTTTTTAAAAAGTCATTGACTTTCTTTATCAATGAACTTCAGACATGATGGTAAGATTTTGTGTATGTTTGTTACTTTCATTCTTTCCAATTTTATGTATGGAACTTCAAGAACTGATTCAGAAAATAATGACCATAACCTTGGTTTATTTCCATGCACAAATATCAATAGCTATATTTTTAGTTTTTCAGTTATTTCAGGTTTTTGACAGCTGCAGCACATTGCTGGCTCATACTCAAGTGGTGGTCTATTAAGACACCTAGGTCTCTCTCAGTTAGTACTGTTAAGTCAGATACTGCATATTCTGTACCTATGCATTTTTTCTGCCTAAATCCATTACCTTAACTTACATTACATTCACTATGATTAATAGCAGAACTGTCCAAAGGATGATGAAATAAAGTGAATGTGTTTGTAACATATATGGATTTTTCCCCCCTCTGGTTTTTGTTTTTTAAAAAATGGTATGCTTTACAGTTTTCTTGCATCAAAATAATAGAAACAATGCCTCTGGCAGTAGTGCTTGGACATTTGACTACTGGCCTCAAGTTATCTGCCCTTGGCAGTGATACTTTGATATATCCTACTTTCCTTCTTTTGTTGTTTTACAACCAAATGTAGATAAACTTTCACATTTAAACCAATATTGTGGTAATGGATTGCTTTCAGTCTAGCCCTAACCTTTTACCCTGAAAACATGCTAAATTCCAGTAGGATTTTCTTCCAGCTTGTTATATGAAGGATTTTTTTAGCCTTAGAATATTAAATAATATATTAGTTTTTGTTGATTACAATGTTTCATTTGCTCAATTATTTATAATACTGATAAGAATAACAATATTGTTTTCATTTTTGCAGCAGCAGATTTTAGAAGTTGCACTGGATCGTGCTGAGGTAAATTATAGATTATCTAACTTATACAGGCGTTTCTGATTATAGTACTAGCAATAGAAAAGACCATTGTTCTCTTCATGATAGTTTCATTTAAAAGTATATGAAAAAGGTACAATTCTTAAACATTTAAACTGCTTTATTGTAAACATTTACAATAACATTTATTCTGGTTCGATAATGCCCACTATATCCTAGAAAGATGCAAGAGATGTAGTTTTGTTACTGATTACTGTAGCTTGAATTTTTTTAGTTTTTTCTGATATTTTTTGATGGCGTTATTGATGGAGAAATAATATATTGCAAAACTCAAAAAATGAAACATTTAATGGTTTCTGGTGAGATCTGTGGGAGGTGTGTGTAGAATGTAATTGAGATGAGGATAATATTAAGAAAATGCTAAGTATATACAAATAATCCTTGACTTACAACCATTTGTTTAGTGACTTCAAAGTTACAACAACATTGGAAACAAGTGACTTATGACCAGTTTTCACACGTACAACTATTACAGCATCCTCATGATCACATGATCAAAATTTGGGTGCTTGGCAACTGGCATGTATTTATGACAGTTGCATATCCTGGAACCATGATCACCATTTGTAACCTTTCCAGCTGGCTTCCAATAAGCAAAGTCAATGGGAGAAGTCAGATTCACTTAATGCTGATTGATTCATTTAATAACTGCATGATTCACTTAATAACCACAGAAGTTGCTTAACTATGACAAAAGTCTTAAATTGAGGCACAACTAACATAACAACTACCTCGCTTAGCAACAGACATTCTGGGCTCAACTGTGGACATAAGTCAAGAACTACCTGTATTCTGTTTCCACTTTCCTCCTCAGTCTTATTTGACATGTCAAAATAAGTGAATTGTGTTTCAAATACTTGAAATTAACTGTGCATTTGTGCATTGATAATATGTTTTTAATATATTAATATTCACACACTTTTTTCAGTATATCATTGAAAGTGCTCGGCAGCGGCCTCCAAAACGAAAGTATTTATCTTGTGGGAGGTAAGAAATATTTAGTGCATTTTTTTTACTTTAACAGATAGAAATGTTTACTCAAGACTTTTTTTTCTAATTCCAGAAAATCAGTATTTCAAAAGCTGTATGAATTGTATCTAGAAGAATGTGATAAGGAGCCTGAAATAAAGGTAAGTGAAATCTCATTGTCAAATGTCTATTTTATGTTTTTCATAGTGGACCAGGAAAGGCCAGTTGCATATAACTATTCTGTTTATAGATTGTAGTAGCATTAAAACATTCTCATGAAGAATTTAAAAGAATTTCTATCCTTGAATGTTGCCTACTGTCCATTGTGGAGGTGTCAGGAATTGGAGAAAGAGCAACCACGTTCTGAGTATAAACTATAGGAGTATTCGTATCTAAATGAGGAGGGTGTATCACACTGTTCTCAGGCTCCTCTTACACAGGACCAGAACTTCCTATAATTCTTCAAAAGTGTCAGTGATTGGACATGAATTTGGTATGTTCAGTTGGTGATTATCAATTTTTCTGTGCAGGGAGCTTTAAACAAAGTTTTTCCCCTTAGTCTTGTTTCAGATTGCTCTAAGCTCCCCAGGGGCCCTCAATAGTAACATATATGGGAAACACAGAGATAAGATGCTGCTTTGGCTGCTGGATAGCAATGTAATTCTCAAGGCAATTTATAGTAATGACAGGAATTAGTCATGAGTTGTTTGATTACATTTCCTGACTAGTTCCTGCTGCAAATAGCAAGTACCTTCAATTTGAACAGTATTGTTAACTATATGGTGAATGTAAATTTACATGAAAATAAACATAGTTGGGTTATTTTGTAAGAAACATTATTTTGGAAAAAACGGTAGCAGCTGTTTTGACAACAAAACTGCCTTTACCGTATCTTGTGAACTTGGTCAGCAAGAATACATTTTCCTAATCAAATAAATAGTCAAGCAGACTACTTGTATTGGCATGAAAGGTAGAGAATAATTAGCAAATAACTTATAAAATAGCTTTTATTTGGGGGCAGTGTTTGTGTGGGTTTTGTCATTGACTTGGAACATTTTAAATATAAATACATAGATTGTGCTAATCTAATTTTGATATCTCATGAATTGTTGCCCCCATTTTAAAGCAGAAGCTGAGACGAAATGTGAACTTGTTGGAGAAGCTAGTTATGCAAGAGACGTTGTCATGCCTAGTAGTGAATCTTTATCCAGGAAATGAAGGCTATTCCTTGATGCTCAGAGGAAAAAATGGCTCAGGTAAAACAAGCATTGTTGACTTTTAAATCTTTCTTTGATCTAAGTAGTTTTTTTAAATAATATTTTGAAGTATTAGGTGGAAGCCTGATTCAAAGCATACCAGAGTTTCTTTTGTTATGAGTAATAGATGCTTGCTGAGCTTTATTCTGTTTTAAATGCAGATTCAGAAACCATTCGGCTTCCTTATGAAGAGGGAGAATTACTTGAATATTTGGATGCTGAGGAGCTGCCCCCTATTTTAGTTGACCTCCTTGAAAAATCTCAGGTTTGAAAAGAATTTGCACGATTGTTTGTGGAATTGTTAATGCATTTTTGGTGGGATATAATAGCAACACTACTTATGCATGTATGATAGAGTCAGTTGGGATATACACCGATACCACTATATAGGTGGTTTGTAGAATACGAGTAATAGCTGTTAATAGACAAAACTGAACAAAGCAAATTTAGATAAGTTGCAACCCCACCAATTGTTCCACATTGCAAGCCAATTACCAAGCAGTTAAACAGGAAAAGAAGATTACTGTTAGTTGTAGCAAGATAGAAGTCCTAGTCTGGATTGGCAGTAAAAAGAGAAATGTCTCTGACAAACTGTGTGTACATAAATCTATATACTGTATGTAAGCGTATGAATGTGTGTGTACATGGATACATATAGGCACAAGTGAATGTGTTTGTTTCTTTGTAAAATCAAAGTTGTAATTCACCATCTTAGGCTCCATATGGCCTTAAGGCAAAAAATGTTACTTAGATTTCTATAGTGGCTTTAGCCTTAAATATTATTTAAATTGCTGGTAATATTAGTAGCAACATTACACTAATTACTTATTTTCACAGACTCATTTTAGAGTTCACATGAAAACACGGCTAAGGCAAACATAATTAACATAATGTTTAACTTAATAAGGTATGTTTTCTGATTCAGTGAGAAAACATGATTTGAACAGTGATTTGGGTAATGCCTCAGTGAGTATGGTTATAGTTATATAAGTTCAATGACAAAACAAAGATAGATCAGCAGTGTACTAAGACTTACTTCCTTATGTTCCCCCTACTAGTTTCTTTTTCTAAGGCAGTGATGGTGAACCTTTTAGAGAACGAGTGCCCAAAAACTGGCCCCGCCCCCGCTCCGCCCCTGTTCTGCCCCACCCTGTCCCCCACCCTACCTGCCCTCAGGGCCACTCACTCCCTCCAGGGCCCACCGCAGATCGCCCAGGCAGCCCAGCAGCGCCATGGCGGCCACGCCCTCTGCCCACGTCCCACAGCATCAACTGTGCGTGATGGGGTGTGAGGGCGGAGTCTTGTCTATGCTGCCTGGCTGCCATCTCCTTGGCTGCACTGCTCCGCATGGGCCACGCTCGGGGGCGACACTCCTCCAGGGGGGCTGCTGGTGAGGGGGTCATGGGGGGAGGGGAGGCTGGGCAACGGCATGCATGCCTACAGAGAGGGCTCCAAATGCCGCCTCTGGCACGTGTGCCATAGGTTCGCCACCACTGTTCTAAGGCATTTCCAAATTAAATATTAGAAATTTGTTTTGAACTATTATTTGTCATATGTTTCAAAACTTATGTCATAATTTTACTATAACTGATCCTTAGTAAATGATTTAGAACTTTGAGATTGTCTAAAAAAAACCCAGTAAAAGCAAGTATCAGTTTTTATATCACATGGTACCATCCTTATTCTCGCTGATGTATTGATAGAAGACACATTTAACAATTGATCCTAAGATGTAATGATCATTTTGGTTCTGCTTAAATATAATCAAACTTCAAAATCGCTGTATGAATGGAATGGAATGGAATGGAATAGAATAGAATAGAATAGAATAGAATAGAATAGAATAGAATAGAATAGAATAGAACTGGAAGGGACCTTGGAGGTCTTCTAGTCCAGCCCTCTGCTCAAGCAGGAGAACTTATACCATCTCAGACAACTGACTGTCTAGACTCTAGCCTCTCGCACATTGCAATGAAGATATAAAAGAAGAAAAATATGTTTTGATACCTTATGATAAAAGAAGTAGTCGTAATCAGGAATTTTCCCATTGTACTGTGATATTTGCAGTTCTGGCTAATTCTTCTTGGTCTCAGTTTTCTTAGCTATGATTAGAAAGTATGAGGTATGTCATTCATCTTAAGTGACTTTTGGTTGATGAAAAGGGTACACATCTTAGAGTTATTCATATGCAGCTAACACACATACTTCATTGTTTCATTATTTATTTATATATTATATTTATTTATTTTTAACATAATAGGCCAATACAGTGTGAAATACATCCACATGGAAAATAATGTTACATATAAGAAGGAAAAACTTCTGGATACTGCTAGGAAGTGGCCATGAAGATACTGAAAGACATTTTGGCCTGAAATGTTGTCATTGTGTCCTGTTCATGGTCAATACTGTCAATACTGTTCAATTACTATGAAAGTAATTTCTACCTAAGCCAGGCAGAAACAAGTAACATACCTCTTCTTAAAGCTGATACTAAAGTTGATACAGCAATACATTTAGCTGTAGGTGTCAACTGTCCAGTTGACATTTCCAGAAAAAGAAACTCCTGAGACATGATTTTACCAAGAGTATAATACTTTACTGAACATTTACATTGGCACAGAAAAAGCAAAACCAGCTCTGGTTTTCCTGTGTGAAAACTTATTTAATTAAACAATAGATTCCCTTGCCCCCACTCAGCGGGTGTTCACATTGTCCAATAGTAATGCTTCTTGTTATGGGAAAAGTCCACTTCTCCATTGAGCACCTGTGTTAGTGATCTTGGCATTCTTGCAGGCTCTGAAAGATGCCTTGGTTGCCTAGATTACCATCCCTCCCACCTTTGCGTTCCATTCCACAATCTTTACTCTGTTTTTGTCAAGCTGTGAGCGAGGGAGAAAATGTAGGTGAAAGGGCGAATCAGTCTTGACAGTAGGAAAATGTTGCTCAGATACCAAACACTACATTATATCATGAGAATAGAATAGGATAGGGTAGTGTAGGGTAGGATAGGATAGGATAGGACGGGACCTTGGAGGTCTTCTAGTCCAGCCCCCTGCTCAAGCAGGAGAACCTATACCATCTCAGACAAGTGACTGTCTAGCCTCTTTTTAAAAATCTCCAGTAATGGAGGGCCCACGATTTCTGGAGGCAAGCTATTCCACTGGTTAATTGTCCTCACTGTCAGGAAGTTTCTCCTTAATTCCAAGTTGCTTCTCTCTTTGATCAGTTTCCAACCATTGTTTCTTGTCCTGCCCTCTGGTGCTTTGGAGAATAATGTCCCCCCCCTCTTTTTTGTGTCAGCCCCTTAAATATTGGAACACTGCTATCATGTCTCCCCTATTTCTTCTTTTCTTTAGACTAGCCAAACCCAAGTATATAGAAAAAAACATAATTGTGTAATTTTATTTATGTTTATTTTTAAACAGATTAATATTTTCCATTGTGGGTGTGTCATAACAGAAATACGTGACTATAGACAGTCTGGCAATCTAAAAACTCCAACATATCAAAGCAAACACATTCTTTTGCGCCCAACAATGCAGGTAAACTCTTCATGCTTTCAAGAATTGCCATTGCTACAGCTTCAATGAATTTTTATTTATATCGTCAGTATTTCATAATAAATGGTTACCCTCCTTTTTTCTAGACCTTGATTTGTGATGTGCATTCCATTACAAGTGACAACCACAAGTGGACACAGGTACAAAGTTATATAAGCCTTGTGATATTATAGGTTGGTAATCCAGAAATTTCTGATCTAAGATTCATTTTTGGTGTAAGCTGTATTTCTGGTGAAAGATCGGTATTAGCTTATCCAATAAATCACTGAACAAATTCTGTTCAAATAGAAAGCTTTTGGACTATGATGGAATGTTCTTCCAATGAAAACTAGCATGTTAGAAAAAAGAACCAATTTTCCAAATATCTACAGTGAAGGAAAAAAGTATTTGATCCCTTGTATCATGGTTCCGATATATGAAACCATTTAAAAGAACTTCAAGGCAAGAATTTCTTCCTTAAAGAACATTTTTATTTGGCTACAACATAACAGCATATACAAAGGTGAACCCAAGACTAAATTCCCCTCCACTGGGTTACAAAATTGCAAGCTACATTTCCCACCCCAAATTGCTGTCATAAATCACATTCACCAATTCCTCCCAAATGCTCCAGCCCACCAAAATGTTATCAGCAATGACCTTGGTTCCCTTACATGTGAATTGTTTGGCTGAGAACTACCCCCCTCCTCCTTTTTCTAACTAATTAAGTAGCAAGACAAAGTGAAAAATGGCTTCAATTCGGATTGTCACAAAGAAATGATCAGTCTATAATTTTAATGGTAGGTTTATTTTAACAGTGAGAGACTTGTTGTCTTGGCCGTGTGTTTTGGGTCATTGCCATGCTGGAATACCCATCCACAATCCATTTTTAATGCCCTGGCTAAGGAAGGGAGGTTCTCACCCAAGATTTGATGGTACATGGCCCCATCCATTGTCCCTTTGATGTGGTGAAGTTGTCCTGTCCCCTTAGCAGAAAAACAGCTCCAAAGCATAATGTTTCCACCTCCATGTTTGACGGTGGGGATGGTGTTCTTGGAGTCATAGGCAGCATTCCTCCTCCTCCAAACACGGCAAGTTGAGTTGATGCCAAAGAGCTCGATTTTGGTCTCACCTGCCCACAACATTTTCACCCAGTTCTCCTGTGAATCATTCAGATGTTTATTAGCAAACTTTAGACGGGCCTGTACATGTGCTTTCTTGAGCAGCAGGTGCTGCAAGATTTCAGTCCTTTATGGCATAGTGTGTTACCAATTGTTTTCTTGGTGACTATGATCCCAGCTGCCTTGAGATCATTGACAAGATCTTCCCATGTAGTTCTGGGCTGATTCCTCAACATTCTCATGATCATTGAAACTCCACGACGTGAGACCTTGCATGGAGCCCCAGACTGAGGGAGATTGACAGTTATTTTGTGTTCCTTTCATTTGCGAATAATTGCACCAACTGTTGTCATCTTCTCACCAAGCTGCTTGGCGATAGTCTTGCAGTCCATTCCAGTCTTGTGTAGGTCTACAATCTTTGGACAGCTCTTTGGTCGTCCCCATGGTGGAGAGGTTGGAATCTGATTGATTGATTACTTCTGTGGACAGATGTCTTTTATACAGGTAACTTTTATACCTGTATAAAAAACACCTGGAAGCAAGAAATCTTGCTGATTCATAGGGGATCAAATACTTATTTCCCTCATTAAAATGCAAATCAATTTATAACTTTTTTGAAATGTATTTTTCTGGACTTTTTTGTTATTCTGTCTCTCACTGTTAAACCTACCTTTAAAATTATAGACTGATCATTTTTTGTCAGTGGGCAAAGCTACAAAATCAGCAGGGGATCAAATAATTTTTTCCCTCACTGTATGTTGAAAAAATATTTTATTCAAAGTAAATTCATTTATGTAAAGAATACAGATAGTCCTTAACTTACAACTGATCATTTTACGACTCTTCAGAGTTAACGACAGACTTGAAAAGGGTGCTTTATGGCCCATAAAGCACTTTCGGTTGCACACATGGCTGTAGCATCCCATGGGCATATGACCATGATTTGAATGGTTTTGCCAGTTTCTGGTGTTATTTGTCAGTTTCCAGCAAAAAATGGGTTGTTGCTTAATGGCTGTTGTAAAAATGATCATAAAATCGGGTTGTGTCATGTGAATGCCTTGACTTATGACCACAACGTACTGTAAGGACCCACCCCACTTTGCATCTTAAGAAGACAGAACTCTTGAAATCTTTCTTCCAACAGGCATCTTTATTAAGAGAAACTGGTTGCAGGCATTCTAGACAGGACTTGGGGTCCAGGTTCTCCCATTCAAGGTTTTAAGGAGTTCCCCAGTAGCCCCCCATCACCCCCTTCTTCCAGCAACAGTCCTAGGCATTACATTCCCACCCCCTTTCTCTCACTGCCGACAGGAGGTAGACTTCAGATAGAAGTACATGAAAGCTAATAGCCCCATTGTTATGGTTAGTCCTTTTGGTGGTATCCACATCCAGTCTCTTTGAAGTGTACTGAAGGAAGTGAGGGCCATAAAGCCCCTTTGTTCACCCCCTTCCCTTCATCATATGACAGAATCCAGGGAAGGCAGGAATGGGGTTTTCCATAGTTAATAACTAGAGATGAAATATGGATTCTGACATCCTGCCCCCTTAAAAATAAGATAGATCCACCTGAAGGAAAACCAGACAGGTATAAAAGTTAGTCAGGCTTGTTAGGATACTCTGTGTGAAACTTCTTTAATAGCTTCGGGGCTCTGACATGACATTTATGGACGCATTCGTTTTGTGAGGCAGGGAGATGTTTCCATGCAACTAGGTACTGAGTCTTCTAGAGTCAAGGATTTCCTTTATTTCAAAGTGTTGTTCGCCCTCCACCATGATTGGAGGTGGCGGTGGGGGGATTTTTGGCCGTAAAGATGACTGATGCTCTCTTTTCAGCAAGCTGCAATGAAAAATTAGGTGTATTTGCCTGAGCTTTTTTGGTAATTCTATTTCTACTGTTACTATTCTTTTAATTGGAAAAGGCCCTATATATTTTGGTCCAAGTTTTTTGCAGAGTTGTAGGACTCTAAGTATTTTGTAGATAAGTACACCATTTCTCCTATAATGAATGGTGTAGGCTCAACCCTTTTTTTATCAGCTTGTGCTTTGTATGCCTGCCTAGCTTCATCTAGTGCTTTTCTAACTATTGGCCAGGTGTTTTGTAGTTTTTCCATCCATTCTTTCAGTGATGGGATTGTTGGTTCGTTTGGGGTTAATTCTGGCATGGGGTTGAAACTTTGACCGGTGGCTATTTGAAAAGGAGTGTAACCTGTGCTGGAGTGGACTGCATTATTGTAGGCAACTTCTGCAAAAGGGAGTAAGTCCGCCCAGTCGGACTGTTGGAAATTAAGAAAACATCTTAAATATTGCTCAAGTACTGAGTTCATTTTTTCAGCCCCCCCCCCCATTCCCTTGTGGATGATGGCTAGATGTCAGTCCCTGAGGATCCCTAAAAGGGATAAAAATTCCTTCCAAAATGCAGACGTAAATTGCACTCCCCTATCAGAGATGATGCGTTGGGGTGCCCCATGCAATCTGTAAATGTGCTGGATGAAAGGTTTCGCTAAGGCTTTTGCAGTGGGAATCTTTTGGTAAGGGATAAAGTGCACATGTTTGGAAAACAAGTCCGTGACCATCCAAACAACAATATTCCAATTGCTTTCTGACAATTCCACTATAAAGTCCATGGCTATTTCTCTCCAGGGGGCTGAGGGACTTGCCACTGTTTGTAATAGTCCTGGTGATTTCCCTTGCAACCTCTTTGCAGTTGCACATTTTGGGCAGCTGGCCACGTAGCGAGGCTTGTGGTCTCGTGTCTCTACCACCTCTTCTCCTGAGGAATCTGACCTCTCAGATCCCGACATCTGGCAGGGTTTCAGTCGGGGAAGCGGCTCCCTTTCCAGGGAGTTTTCTCTCTTCCTTGCTCCATTGTCTGACATGGTAATTTTTGCAAAATCCCCCGGTATGGGTCTTCCTTCCAGGTGGATTAATTTTGCAAGTCCTGTCTAATGTAAGGACCCACCCCACTTTGCATCTTAAGAAGACAGAACTCTTGGAATCTTTCTTCCAACAGGCATCTTTATTAAGAGAAACTGGTTGCAGGCATTCTAGACAGGACTTGGGGTCCAAGTTCTCCCATTCAAGGTTTTAAGGAGTTCCCCAGTAGCCCCCCCATCACCCCCTTCTTCCAGCGACAGTCCCAGGCATTACATTCCCACCCCCTTTCTCTCATTGCCGACAGGAGGTAGACTTCAGAGAGGAGTACATGAAAGCTAATAGCCCCATTGTTATGGTTAGTCCTTTTGGTGGTATCCACATCCAGTCTCTTTGAAGTGTACTGAAGGAAGTGAGGGCCATAAAGCTCCTTTGTTCACCCCCTTCCCTTCATCGTATGACAGAATCCAGGGAAGGCAGGAATGGGGTTTTCCATAGTTAATAACTAGAGATGAAATATAATTGGATTCTGACACTTACCATCCAAATTACTGTCTCAGTTGTGATCATAAGTTGTCAACTACCTGTACAATCTAGGTGCAAGTTTAGCATCTTATTCAGAAACCAAGAATAAAAAAGTGTGGACTTGGTTCCTAGTTGCAATTGTTTCTTATGGCAGAACATTTGAATTATAGAATCAGAAGTTGTGGGTGCTTAAACACTGGAAGTTTTTAAGAAGAGACTGGACAGCAAATTGTCTGAAATTGCATAGGGTTTCCTGCTTGAGCAGGGGGTTGGACTAAATGACCTCCAAAGTCCCTTCCAGCTCTATTCTGATTGATTGAAAGATTGGAAGAAATCTTAGAAGTCTAGTTCATCCCCCTGCCCAGGGCAGAAATTTTTGTACCATTCTAAATATGGTTGTCCAATGTTGGCTGGCAAACCTCCAGAGATGAAGCATTCACAGTTTCAGAAGAAAGGCTGTCTACCACTAAATTCCTTCTTATTTTGAGTTTGGACTTCCTCCTCTAAAGTTTCATCCTTGTTAGTTCTTGTCCTTTTCTTGAAAACTGTTAAATAATGTGAAACAAAATCTCCCAAATTCAGAAAACTTGTAGCAGCCTATATACCGTAACTCTATAGCAAACCTGTTTTGATTATTTTAGATAGACAGACAATTGATCAGTCTTACAACCATAAAAAAAGGACAGAATCTAATTCCAGGATAAAACAAAACAAAAAAAAATACAGCAATAAAATACATGTGTGTATACATTTTATTGTATCGTATCATATCATATCATATATCATATCATATTATATTATATTATATTATATTACATTACATTACATTATATTACATTATATTAGATGAGCGCTACTAGATGCATGGATTAAAATTAAAAAATCTAATTACATGAAAATACCCAATTGGATTTCAACACTGGAGATTTGTTTGCACCCAAAATTTATGAACCTGGCAAAGGTAATTACATATAAAAACATTCTAGATGAGACCGGAGAATTGAAAACAAGAGGGGAACTATTAGAAGATGGCATAGAGTTGGAATGGTGGGCATACTTGCAAATACAAGCACGATATAGAAAAGATAAAGAAGAACCTGAGATTAAACTAGAATATACAGAACTAGACAAAATTCTGCTAGGAACTGAAGACAAAATGATAAAAAAGATTTACCAATATTTATTAGAACAAAGTATGCCAACAGAACTGGTAAAAGATACAATGTTAATTTGGAATAAAAACTTTGGTTATAATATCCAGTTAGATTATTGGCAACTACTATGGGACAGGAATGGGAGATTAACATTAGCTATTACTTACAAAGAAAACTTATACAAGATGTTTTATAGGTGGCACCTCCCCCCCTATAAGGCTAGCAAAAATAGACAAAAAAATCTTCACCATTATGTTGGAAATGTAGGAAAATACCAGGGACTTACTATCATATGTGGTGGGAATGCTCATAAGCTCGAAAATTTTGGCACTTGATAAATAATTGGTTAGAAGAGATACTATCATTAAAAATTGAAGCAAAACCAGAACTCTTTTTATTAGGGATCGCTATTGATAAATTCAGCAAAGGAGCTTTATATTTAATTCTGCACATTTTAACCGCAGCAAGATTAACATATGTTCAAAATTGGAAAAGAAAAGAACCCCCCCCCCCCGAAGAAGAAATACTAAACAAAATTTTATCCTGTGCGGAAATGGACAGACTGACATTAGAGCTCAAAAATAAAACAGAAACAGAGTACTTTGAAATTTGGAATAAAGTGTATAATTGGTTGGATTTAAAGAGATACGCTGGACCAAAGGCTGATGATTAAGTAGATAACCTAGAAATTCTTATTTTAATATTTGTTATATCAGATAGAACCAAAAGTTATTTAACTAGGATGTACTTTATTGAAAGAATGTGCACTGTGTAAAAATGGAATAACTTTAAAGTAATATTAATAGTATCGTTTAATGAGGGAAGTTGTATCATGAAAATAAAATAAAATAAAAATACATGTGTGGTAAACACAAAGAATCAACATTCAGATAAGTACATCACCTTTACAGCATGCCCCAATCTGTTCAATATAACAGGTTCTTAACTGCCTTAACTTAGCAGCTCTGCTTCCAATGCATAGATTAGAATCCAGGAGGAAATATAGGACAATCTGATTCAAATCACAGGGGGCTGTTCCTTCAAGTAAGGATATTAAGTGTCTAGGCCTAAGAGAGCACATGGTTAACAGTCAAACAAAATATGAGCAATATCCTTGATGACTGGGGCACCGCACATCTCTCATGATATGGCATGTTGTAGAAATACCCATATTTGACCTTGTTTTTATTTGCCCATTATAACATTGGGCAAAATTGAGACAGTTTCTCATGTGAATTGAAAATATACCTATTTCCCTCTCCTTTTAGTTACATCTTTTCCATGCTATATTTTATTCTATTCTGGGAGACTTTATGATCTTCCAGGATAACATTTGGGGAGACAACAACAAAAGAGGCTGCAAAGAGAAAAAAGTAGGAAAGCCATGATCAATAAGTACATTCCCATAGAGCCCCATTTGTTATCTGAACTGATATGATGGATGGCAAACAGTGGTTGTGCATGTGCTGCAATTCTTCTGTGTGACCTATATATCTTCATGCACACATTGTGTTAAGCAATATTTTATTTAACAATTCTAAGTTCAACAACTCATCAATAAATTAGTTTTAAATGAATTAATCATACTTATATGACCAATTTCTAGTTTGTTTTCCTTCCCTTTTCTCTCGTTAAGACATACTAATAAATTTGTTAATATTTGATAGTAACTGTAACTCTTAAATTCTAGAAATTGAGCAATTTCTGATTTGCTGTACTTTTTTATTTTGTGTAACTAGAATAAAGATATTAAATGTTATTAAAAGATAATATTAAATATAAATTTATTTACTTCAAAAATGGCAGTACTTACAGACTTGAAGATTATTGGAACTAAAAAGTCAAACTCAATAGGTTCAAAAGGAAAAGTTGTCTATTAATATTCACACATACAGTATGTTTAAGAATCAAGTCACTCTAGTATATTGAAAAGAATGAAACTAATTGTTGTCTACATAAATATTGAAAATGAAATATATTAACCTCAGTGGACTTATTTGTAAAAATGTGCATATAAATGTAGCATTAATGAATTATTGCCCTTTTAGAATCTTCTGAATTTGTGTTTTAGGAAGACAAACTTCTATTAGAAAGTCAACTTATACTGGCAACAGCAGAACCTCTGTGTCTAGATCCATCAGTTGCTGTTACATGCACAGCAAACCGGCTTTTGTATAATAAGCAGAAAATGAACACTCAGCCAATGAAACGGTACTGGAAAATATTCATCTTTAGAGGATCCTTGCAAAAAAATTGCTTTATTTTATACTAGGAAAAAAAGTGGATTACATTCAAATTAGATAACTTTTAAAGCCAATAACCTAGACCAGTGAATGCAAATATATTTCAGGGGGAAAAATTGGATGAAATCCAATACAATTGTAAACTTATATTTGTTAATAAAAGTTTTTTTTTTCTTCTGTTCAGTCATATCCAATTCTTGGAGACTGCCTGGACTAGTCCCTGAAGTTTTCTTGACAAGCTTTTTCAGTAGTCACTTGCCATTGCCTCCTTTCTAGGACTGAGAGAAAGTGTCTGATCAAAAGTCATCCAGCTACCTTTGTGTCTAAGGCAGGACTAGAACTCACGGTCACCTGGTTTCTAGCCTGGTATCTCAACCACTATACAAAAGGAGTTGTAAATAGAATATATTTACAAATTCAATAGATATTTATAAAATTAAATACAAATATGTTTTACACATTGAAGATATAAACTTGCAATTAACTTACTTTTCTTGACTTAAAAGGAATTGCACAGCAGCTTTACAACTACATTATTAAATCATGGTTATAAATGCTTGTATAAATATGTTCCAGAATATTAGTTTTCTTTATATTAATCTTGCAATATCTTACAGATGTTTCAAGAGATATTCCAAGCCATCTCTGAATCACCAGCAGGAGGTGTCTCAAAGTACTGTTCCACCACAGTTCAAGCTGTTTGATTATTTACAAAAAAGAAAGGAAAGGAGAGGAAGCCAACAGTATGATCTCAAAATTTCCAAAGCTGGAAATGTATGCTTATTTTAAGAAACTTTTAAAGTAATACATTTGTGAAATGTTTTTATCCTGATGGCTGTTTGTATATTTTTGTCCCCTTAGTGTGTTGATATGTGGAAACAGAACCCCTGCTATTTGACTGTACCATCTGAAGTAGATGTAAGTTTACAGATTTAGCAAGCTTTCCTTCTATCATCCAAGTTGGTGGAGGAGTTTGAGTGAAATCCTAAATCTGCTTGCTATTTTGAGACACTTTAATTTATTCTAATAAAAACACTGCCTAATTATGTCGCTATTTAAAATAGTGTATATTTTTAATATTTAGAAATGAAGGATTCTTTTGATGACCTTGGTAAATTTGTTGTGACAGTTTTTCTGGGAATGTTTTATCGTCCCTATTTCTAAAGATCTATGTAATTACAAGTAACTTTAAAAAATCTTCATTAGAGTTATACGTAATCAACTGGTTAATCCAGGGTAGATAGTCTTTTGGATTGAAAGGCCCAGCTAGAATAGGGCTACATGTCTGCCAGGTTCCAAAGGAGATTGAACTCTGTTGATTAGATATCTTTAAATAACCAGTATGATACTATTTTTTTTTTTAAAAAAAAAAACCTAGGCATAATTTATTAACTTTATACTTTATTCAAGTGTTGCTTTTATTAATTTGCACTTTAATTTGGTTTTTTTATTTCTCAAGGTGGAAAAATATGCTAAAGTGGAAAAATCTATCAAAGCTGATGACTCACAACCAAGCGTCTGGCCGATTCATGTGAGTAGTAGTAGATTTTTAGTTAATTTCCAAGAACTATTTCTTTAGAAAAAATGGAAATGCAGTATAATGAATAATTAGTTCATAATTATATTTAGGTGATTAAAGAAAAATTCTTAAGATCATTTTCAGTTATTCATTAAAATAGAAAACGGACCTTGTGAATTTTTCAAGTATGCAACTTCCTAGCAATAGAATGTAATTTTGTAGGAGCTGCTGTTGAGTGTGTGAATAAACCAGTTTATTGTGTTTAGAATTCTATTGCCTCTGAACTATAGATACTGTACAGTCAAAGAATAAAGAGTCAGTTGTCCAACAGTGATAATTCCTATCTTTTGTAATTAACAGCTTTATGTTTGAATAAAAAATAAAAATAAAATAAAAAAGTACTTGTAACATAGATGATTGTGCGGGTAAGAATATCAATTTTGCTGTCAAGGAAAATCAAGCTTTTGATAGAGTGTACCAAACCATGTGCACTAATCAAACAGGTGGTAAGGAAGTAGGGGAACTCAAAACACAAAACAGGTTATGTAGAAAGTAAACACAGGGTCAGTCAAAAAGGACTCAAATGTCTATACACCAATGCACAGAGTATGAGGTATAAACGGGGTGAATTAAAAATTAAATTATATGAAGACAGAGATGATATTGTTGCCATTACAGAAACTTGATAGGTTGAAATCCACAAATGGAATATAAACTAAATAAATTTAAATTATTTAAAAGAAACATACCAAATAAAAGAGGAGATAGAGTTGCATTTTATATAAGAAATAACTATCATGTTTCCCCTGAAAATAAGCCGTAGCTTGCTTTTTGGGGGTGGGCCTAATATAAGCCCTACCCCAATAATAAGCCCTAGTTTTGGAGTGAGGCACACACCTAAAGATCAAGCTAGGGTGGGAATATGGGTCTGGAGCTGCCCCACATGCTCTGCACCCACTTACCTTGCAGCCAGGTCTCCTTGCCGGCCCACTTCTTCTGCAGCCAGGCCTGCATTTCTCAGTCACAGGCCTTTCTGCAGCCAAGAACCCAGCTATGGATTCAACCCATAGCTCGGTTCTGCAAGAGACCTTTGCAGGTGAGAACCGAGCTATGAATTGAATCCATAGCTTGGTACTTGTCTCAGAGGCCTTCTGGAAAGGCCTCACTTTGAGATGCAGGCCAGAATGCAGCTGCAGAATGAAGCTGCTCCTTCGGTCGCAGAAGAAGTGGACTGGCTAGGCGGGGCTATCGATGCTGGAGGTGAGTATAAAAGAACACACACACACACACACACAGAAAATAAGACCTGGTGCCTCTTTTGGAGGCAAAAAATAATAATAATAAGACCCAGTCTTATTTTTGGGGAAACACAGGTATATCTATACAGAAATAGAGTACAATGATGAAAACTGTCTTGAATGCATTTGGGTCAATATAAAACGGGGGGGGGATGACATTGGCATAGGTATATACCCAATCAAACAGGAAATAGATGAACTTTTTGCTAGCCAGTTAACTAAGGTATGTAGGAAGCACTTCACAATAATAATGGGGAACATTAACTACCCTGATATAACTAGGAGAGACAAACTCTGCACCAAGTGGAAGATCAAACAGGTTCCTGACAAACCTAGCAGACAACTTGGTTTCCCAAAATATATAGAAGGGATTTCCTGCCTGAGCAGGGGGTTGGACTAGAAGACCTCCAAGGACCCTTCCAACTCTGCTATTCTGTTAAAAAGGAGTAAGCTGACACCTTAGTATTTTGAAATATTTGGCTGTGACCAATTGTCAGTGTAAGGACCCACCCCACTTTGCATCTTAAGAAGACAGAACTCTTGGAATAATTCTTCCAACAGGAATCCTTTATTAAGAGAAAGTGGTTGCAGGCGTTCTAGACAGGACTTGGGGTCCAAGCTCTCCAATTCAAGGTTTTAAGGGGTTCTCCAGTAGCCCCACCCAATCAACCCCCTCTTTCAGCGACAATCTCGGGCATTACACTTCCACTCCTTTTTCATTACTGCCCAGCTGGATGGAGACTTCAAAGAAACTACATGAAAGGAAATGGTTCCATTCTTATGGTTAGTTCTTTTGCAATACACACATTCAGTTCCTTTGAAGTATACTGAAGGAAGTGAGGGCCATAAAGCCCCTTTGTTCACCCCCTTCTCTCCCTCTTATGGCAGAATCCAGAGAAGGCAGAATTGGGGTTTTCTATATTTGATAACTAGAGATGAAATATAATTGGATTCTGACATCCGGCCCCCTCAAAAATAAGAGAGATCCACCTGAAAGAAAACAAAACAGATGTAAAAGTTACTCAGGCTTGTTAGGATACTCTGTGTGAAACTTTTTTAATAGCTTCGGGGCTCTGACATGATGCTTATGGACCCACTCGTTTTGTGAGGCAGGGAGGTGTTTCCAGGCAACTAGGCACTGAGTCGTTCCATGATATCTTCTAGAGTCTAGGATTTCCTTTATTTCGAAGTGTTGTTCGCCCTCTACCATGAGTGGAGGTGGTGGTGGGGGGATTTTTGGTCGTAAAGCTGACTGATGCTCTCTTTTCAGCAAGCTGCAATGAAAAATTGGGTGTATTTGCCTGAGATTTTTTGGTAATTCTAATTCTACTGTTACTGGGTTTATGACCCTTTTAATTGGAAAAGACCCTATATATTTTGGTCCAAGTTTTTTAAATGGTTGTAGGGACTTTAGGTATTTTGTAGATAGGTACACCATTTCACCTATAATGAAAGGTGTAGGCTCAATCCTTTTTTTATCGGCTTGTGCTTTGTATGCCTGCCTAGCTTCATCTAGTGCTTTTCTAATTATTGGCCAGGTGTTTTGTAGTTTTTCCATCCATTCTTTCAGTGATGGGATCGTTGGTTCGTTCGGGGTTAATTCTGGCATGGGGTTGAAACTTTGACCGGTGGCTATTTGAAAAGGAGTGTAACCTGTGCTGGAGTGGACTGCATTATTGTAGGCAACTTCTGCAAAAGTGAGTAAGTCCGCCCACTCGGTCTGCTGGAAACTAAGAAAACATCTTAAATATTGCTTAAGTACGGAGTTCATTTTTTCAGCCCCCCCATTTCCTTGTGGGTGGTGGCTAGATGTCAGTCCCTGAGTGGTTCCTCAGAGGGATAAAAATTCCTTCCAAAATGCAGACGTAAATTGCACCCCCCTGTCAGAGATGATGCGTTGGGGTGCCCCATGCACTCTGTAAATGTGTTGGATGAAAAGTTTTGCTAAGGCTTTTGCAGTGGGAATCTTTTGGCAAGGGATAAAGTGCACCTGTTTGGAAAACAAGTCCGTGACCGTCCAGACAACAATATTCCCATTGCTTTCTGGCAATTCCACTATAAAATCCATGGCTATTTCTTTCCAGGGGGCTGAGGGACTTGCCACTGTTTGTAGTAGTCCTGGCGATTTCCCTTGCAACCTCTTTGCAGTGGCACATTTTGGACAACTGGCTATATAACTTTCAATGTCCTTTTTCATGGATGGCCACCAAAATTACAGTTTAATTAAGTGTAAAGTTTTTACAAATCCAAAATGCCCTGCTGATTTTGTGTCATGGCAAAGCTGCATGAAAGTGACTCTTTGGGTTGTTGGTATGTATAACTTTTCCCCTACCCAAGGCAACCCGTCTCTCATTGTGCACACATTTTTGTTTTTCTGGAACCATCCATCTGTTTCCAAACTTTTTCTGAATTCAATTCCAGTTTGACTGTCCAGTTGTGGTTTTAATTTGGCTTGGGTTCTTGTGGTTACTGGTGCTGCCAGTTGTGACTCTGCCATTATTGGTCTAGAGTCTGTGGTTCGTGCGCTGTTATATTGAGGCATGCGAGATGTGCATCTGCCAGGAATTTTTTTCTTCCTGGTAAATGTTTGAGCTTAAATTGGAACTGGTGAAAATGCTGGGACCAGCGGGCTTGTTTGGGATTGAGTTTCCTGGACGTTTCCAGGGCTTCCAAATTTTTGTGATCAGTCCACACCTGGAAAGGGATTTTGTTGCCTTCCAGGAACTATCGCCACGTGAGTAATGCCCAACATATCCCATAAGCCTCCTTCTCCCATACGGGCCAGCGCTGTTCTGTTTCCGTGAGTTTCTTGGATGTATATGCACATGGTTGCAATACTCCATCATCATTTTCTTGTAATAGAACAGCCCCCACTGCCACATCGCTTGCATCTGCCTGTATTACGAAGGGCTTGTCCATGTCTGGGTGTCTTAGTATTGGTTCGGCAGAAAAAAGTAGTCTCTCAAACGCTGCTTGGCACTCCATTGTCCATGTTAGTGGCTGGCTAGGTTTTACTGAGGGTGCTCCCTTCATTTTCAGTAAGTTAGTGAGGGGCAAGGCTATCTGGGCAAATGAGGGGATGAATTGGCGGTAAAAGTTTGCAAAGCCCAGGAAACTTTGTAGTTGCTTTCTTGTGCGGGGTGGTGCCCAATCTAATACTGCTTTGACCTTCTCTGGGTCCATTTCAATGCCCTGTGGGGATATGCGATAACCTAGGTAGTCTATCCTTTCCTGGTGGAATTCGCATTTTGAGAGTTTGGCATATAGGAGGGCAGCTTGCAGTTTCTTTAAAACCGCTCTGACTAGGTTGACATGTTCCTCTTTTGTTTCAGTAAAGATAAGAATGTCGTCCAAGTAAACAAGGACCCCCTTAAACAGGTGCTCCCTTAGAACGTCATTGATTAATTGCATAAAGACTGCAGGACCCCCTTGTAATCCAAATGGCAAGACTTTGAATTGATAGCACCCCATGGGGCAGTTAAATGCAGTCTTCCATTCATCCCCTTCCTTAATTCTCACGTGATAGTAAGCTTCCCTTAGGTCTAGTTTAGAAAATTTTTTCCCTTTCAATAGGTGTGACAGCATGTCTTTCCTGAGGGGCAGAGGGTATAGGTTGTTTTCACTGATTGTATTCAGGGCCCTATAATCCACGCATAAACGTAAAGAGCCATCCTTCTTCTCTCTAAAAAGGACCGGGGCAGCCACTTTAGGCTTGGCTGGCTCAATGAAACCTCTCTCTAGGTTTTTTTTTATGAATCTTTCCATTTCCTCCTTCTCCTTTGGGCTCATGGAGTATAATATGGGCTTCGGGAGTTTTGCCCCAAGCTTGAATTCAATGGTACAGTCTGTGGGTCGGTGGGGGGGGGAACTCATTCGCCCTCTCCTCACTGAAAACTTCAGCAAGGTCTCTGTATTCCTCTGGCATTTCTGTTAGTCTCTTTTCCTCTCCTATGGATGCTTTTTCTATTCTTCATTCTGGTAGCCTCCCTTGGGGTTTTAAGTCCATAGGGTCCCCCTTCGGGAATTTGATTTCTGTCGTCCTCCAATTTACCCAGGGGTTCCATTTTTTTAACCATTCCATCCCTAGGATCATTGGGCATTCCATGCCTGGGGTCACCACAAATGTTATGTCCTCCTCATGTTTGCCCAGGGAGAGGTGTATTGGTAGAGTGGCTAGGGTAGCTGGCACCCCCCCTGCTATGGATCCATCTAACTGGCCAAAGGAGATTGGTTGTTCTAGTCTCCTCGATGGGATGCCCAGATTCCCCACTAGTGTCTGGCTAATGAGGCAGTGGGTGCAGCCAGAGTCTATTAAGGCTTTCACCTTCACAGCTTCGGGCATGGGGGGAATTACTATAGTCACTGTCTTGAGGATGGGTGCGATGTGTCCACTTACCAGGGGTTCACCTTCCGAGATGTCATCTGAGGCATCCACCGGCCCTGTGGTGTAGGCTGGAGTTCTTTCCCCCTGATGAGCAGAAGTGGGGGGTTCCGCAATTTCCATCATTCTCATGGCAGTTTCTTTTGGCTTAGCTGAAGACTTTCCGGATTTGCTGATTGGGGATCTGTCTGGATTGTGCTGGGGGGCTTTGGAGCGGCATTCTACAGCTCGATGCCCTTCTCTTCCGCACTTGAAACACCCCATTTGCTTCTTGGCTTTAGCCGGTAGTTTCACTGGTTCGTGTGTCAACTCAGACGGGGAGCGGCTCCATTGTTTTCTTCGGCGGTGTCTTTTCAATATGTCGATCTCTGCTTCCTCTGCCAAGATGTACCATTCCTCAAGTTGGTGTGGGTCCCCTCGGGGCAGGCAAGCGTCATATAGATCATAATTTAGTCCGTCTTTGAAATGGCTAAGGAGGATGTCTTCTGGCCAGTTCAGTTTGCTGGCAATGGCCCGGAATTCTTGTGTATATTCAGCCACCGGGCGTTTGCCTTACCTCATCGTTTTTATCCTTTCACGGGCTTTGTGATCAGCCGGGGGGGGGTCTTCAAATCGTCTTCTCAGAGAGGACATGAAATGGTTGAAGTTGCTGAGTTCTGGGGCATTGGAGTCATGCAAGTTCATCACCCAATCTGCAGCCGGTCCATCCAGGGCAGACTGCACGATCCGGATGCGAGCTTTGTCGCTGGGGATGTCCTGCCCGTATTCCTCCATGTAGCTGAGGACTTGGGTTAGGAAAAACCCCAAGCGTGTTGGCTCCCCTTTGAATTTCACCTCCAACGGCGGACGTCTTGGAATGGATCGATGCCTCCGTTGTTGGTGGTAGTGTCTTCCGTCCAGATCGTCATCTGTGGTCCGGTAGGGGGTGGGGACTACTGGATCAGCAGATGTCCCTGGGGTTGTAGGTTCCATGTCCCCCTCGGTGTCTCTCCCTTTGCGGCTCCAGGAGCTGGGGCGGCCGTAGGGCTCAGGATTCTCCTCTCCTAGGGAGCTGAGAGTTCTCTTCATCAGGTCGATAGCTTTCTCTAGGATCCAGTCTGAGTACGGTGCCCAGCTTTCTCCCTCTTCACTTGTGTGCAGGGATTTCTCCATCTCCTGCTTCCATTCTGGTTGCTTGGGCCCCCGTCTCAGGGTAACCTTTCTTGATTCCTTTCCCCACTCACTTTTCTTTCCAACGCCCATTGACCAGCAAGGCTTGTGGTCCCGTGTCTCCACCACTTCTTCTCCTGAGGAATCTGACCTCTCGGACCCCAACATCTGGCAAGGTTCCAGTTGGGTCAGCGACTCTCTTTCCAGGGAGTTCTCCCCTTTCCTTGCTCCATTGTCTGATATGGTAATTTTTTTGCAAAATCCCCAGGCAAGGGTCTCCCTTCCAGGTGAATTAATTTTGCAAGTCCTGTCTAATGTAAGGACCCACCCCACTTTGCATCTTAAGAAGACAGAACTCTTGGAATAATTCTTCCAACAGGAATCCTTTATTAAGAGAAAGTGGTTGCAGGCGTTCTAGACAGGACTTGGGGTCCAAGCTCTCCCATTCAAGGTTTTAAGGGGTTCCCCAGTAGCCCCACCCAATCAACCCCCTCTTTCAGCGACAGTCTCAGGCATTACACTTCCACCCCCTTTTCATTACTGCCCGGCTGGATGGAGACTTCAAATAAACTACATGAAAGGAAATGGCCCCATTCTTATGGTTAGTTCTTTTGCAATACACACATTCAGTTCCTTTGAAGTATACTGAAGGAAGTGAGGGCCATAAAGCCCCTTTGTTCACCCCCTTCTCTCCCTCTTATGGCAGAATCCAGAGAAGGCAGAATTGGGGTTTTCTATATTTGATAACTAGAGATGAAATATAATTGGACTCTGACAGTCAGTTTGAATATTGGTGTTCTTGGCTACTTGTTTGCTGATAATTCTGTGTTGGCTAGAGCTATGAAGGGTAGTGGAAGGCTCTTATTTTAAAAACAATACATTTATGTACAAATCAACGATACAACCTTTTGATTTTAGTCATTAATATTAGTACAGAAACACTTATAAATATAAAAAGAATTAGTGTGTTGAAATTATTAACTTACCTTATATATAAGATGAAACCCCATTCAAGTAATCACTACTTAGAATTATTCAACTTGAAAATCCAGCAGCATAGCGAGGATGAGTTTGTTGAACAAGATACTGGTAGAATTAGAATGAGAACCATCTAGATTAAAATTTAACATTTGAACTTCATCAGAAGAAACAACTGCTTTCTCTGTTGAATTCCACTATGCCAGATAGATCCCATATATAATATGGGGGTCCTCCAGGACTCATGGCTTTTGTTCAAAGAGCAGGTGGCAACTGTGACTAGGAGACCCTTTGCTCAACTTTGTTTTGTGACCAGTTATGCTCTTTCCTAGATAGGGAGATTCTCTGGATGACTGTAATGTGCTCTACCTGGGGCTACCCTTAAAAAGTGTCTGGAAGGTTCAATTGGTTTAAAATATGGTGGTCCTCATGGTTTTGTGCAGGTCTAGGTTTGAACATGTGCCATCTCTCTTGAGGGAATTACAATCATTGTTTATTTGCTTCCAAGTTCAATTCAAGGTCCTGTTATTATCTTTAAAGCCCTACATGGTGTGGGATGAGGTTATCTTGGAGGGGGACATAAGAGAATACATACATAATAGGATGTTGGATTTAGTTTTTTACATAACACAGTAATCCTATCCATTACCAAATTAAACATGTCCAAGCAGCGTTTCTGAAGACTGTTGTATTCTCAAGAGTCCCAAGTTTGTTGTTCTCTGTACAACTGTATAACAGACTAAGTATGTCATAAATATGTTGTTTAATAGCTTTTATAAATGTTCTTTTTCTATTTGATAGGAAATGAAAGATGATTATGTCTTTGAATGTGAAAGTGGCAATCATTTTCAGAAAACAAAATTGACAATTTTTCAGTCACTTGGAAATCCATTGTACTATGGTAAAATACAAACTCTTAAGAATGATGAGGATAATGAAAGTCCATCACAGTAAGTGGCATTAATCTTTCTGTTTTAGAGAAAAGCATTGATGTTAACTTTAGAACATTTTTGCTGATATGAGCTGAAAGAACTTTGTATGTCTAGCAGGTAAAGAAAGGACTTGTAAATATGGAGTATCTTTATTACTGTGCAGATTATTGAAAAAAATCCAATGTAAACATTGACAATGTTGGACATAATAATATATTATAGTTTGTGTATGAATACCAATAAAGTATATGATTAGTTGAATGAGCTTAGGTGACCTGAATCGCACATATTGCCTTCCAGAATGAAGATTGCTTCCATTTCATTCCATGTGTTTTACTGTAGGAGTGGATATCTTTTTCACCTTGTGGATCACAACAGATGAGATGTTGTGTGCATGTATATCTATATACTTGCTAGTATTTGCATTTACATAGTATCACAGAATAGTGGAATTATAGAGTTGGAAGGAACCATTTAAGTCACCAAGCTCAACACCATATCAGTACTGAAATCCAATTTAAAGCAGCACAAACTGATGTCTGCCTTGAACATATGCATAGTTTTGGAATCTACCATCTACCCAATTAATTCATTCCAGGATTGGACAGCATTTAGTATTATGACCCTCTTCTTAGCATTGAATTGGAATCTGCTTTGTAATAACTAAAATCCATTATTCCTTGTGTAAGGACCTGCCTCAATTAAACCTTCCAAGAAAGCAGAACTCTTGAAACGAAAATCATTCCAAAAGAAACTTTTATTGGAAGGTGTTAACAGTGGTAGTAGAAGCAGGATCTGAGAATTTCTTGCACAAATCAATAGTTTAAAAGAGACAATGACAACCCCACCCCAACTGTCCCTCCAGACGATTCAAACAGACAACTCCACAGGTGTGAAAATGTTGTGGAAATGGAAGATAAAGCCACTTCCAGGGTTGTTTGGTCTCCAAACTTTTTCTCGTCCAGAGATAAGGCAGATGGCCAGAGGCACATTCCATTCTCTTCCCTCACGAAAGAAACATCAAAGAGGATAGAGCAAGGAACAAAGCAAAGGAAATACACTGTAGCAGCCCGAGCTCCCCTTCCCTCTCCCAGAAGACTGGCAGAACCCGAAAAGAAACAGAAACTCCAATGCATATAAAGTGACAGGTTCTGACATGCCGCCCCCAACCCAACTGCTTGAAGTTGGGTTTTCGTGTTAAGCAAACATCATATATGTTCAGCTTAATTGATGTGGCATATATAATCTATATTGTGATCACCAGGAAGAATTATAAAACTGTAAAAGTTTTAATAAAAATACCAAGCTTTCGTTGGCCACTGCCAACATCGTCAGGGCCAACGAAAGGTTGGTGTTTTTATTTAATTAAAACTTTTACAGTTTTATAATTCTTCCTGGTGATCACGTTTGTTTGTTGTTTGATATGAATACACCCAGGAATCATTCTTTTGTTTTTAATATTGTTATTAATAATCTATATTGTATATTTACTTAACTTTAATTAGTGTATTATATTGTTTACAGTTTTCTTATTGGCTCAAAATCAGAAGCAGAAAGGTAAGTACCTGATTACTATTTGCATGATTCTACAGATAGTTAGGTTTTGCTTTTGCAAAAATTCCCCAGATTGTCCTTATGTTTTCTTTGTTCTTTTCCTTGGAAATGAAATTTATCTTAAAACCCGTGATCTTTGTGTAGTAGGAATATACCTTTCTCATCTATCAAATGCATACATCCTCAGAATAGGATAGTGTGTCTCTTATTCTGTGTTTTGCTCGGGAGTTAACACCCAATGTTAGGGTGAAATGTTAGGATGTTATCCACTAGTGTGGTACGGAATGTTTTGCAGAAAACTTAGCAAAAGAACTGGAGTGTAGTTCTAAAAGAAAGGTATAATCTTTTTATTGATTAAATTGCACATTTTGTATTTCAAACTGCCTATTTCTTTCTTAATTACTTTCATTTGTTATTCATGCTTTTCTTGCCATTATATAATAACAACAGAAACTTAGGAACTATTCTTGGAATACACTCAAATACTGAACTCAGAATAAAGAGAAGTGATGAATTAGAATTTGTTTCTAAAATATGATTGTGTAGAAAAGTAGAATATATTTCATAGATAATACTTTTAGTAAGCATTTTATGTTAAATACATTGTTTTCATTCAGTTCCTTAATTTATGAATATATAAAAATTAAGTCAGCAGAAATATAAAAATAAGCAGATCTCTGCTATTGTTCATTATCTAGATAGAATTTCTGCAATTTCATGAAATACATATTAATCTCATGTTATAGAGTAGTGAACCAATACCAGGAGCTGGTTCAAAATGAAGCTAAATGTCCTGTGAAGATTTTTCATAACTCAAGTGGATCAATCCATGTCAGTCAACTTTCTCCTGGGAAGGAACTAGAAGTAAGTTATTTTTAGGATTAGAGGATAACTTTGCACTCTTAAAAATATCACAGTTTCATTTAAGCCCTGTCTGAAAAAACATGCAAATTCACTTTTTATTAGTGACTTAATTACTTGACTTTTGCCTATTTATTTTTTATAGATGAATTATTATCATCTGGTGCTAGAATGTAACAAATTTAGCAAGTAAATCATAATAGCAATAAGACTTATATATATAAGGCTCCATAGTGCTTTACAACACCCTCTGAGCAGTTTACAGTCAGTAAATTGTCACCAAAAGTCTGGGTCCTCATTTTACCGACCTTGGAAGGACTGAGCTGTGGGCAAGCCATTACGATTTTTGGTTATTGAGGTGAGGGTTAGGGCTAGGGCTTGAGGAGAAACCTATGCAAAGTTAAGGAGGTTGTTCATTTTTCCTTTCAGAAATTAATCTTCTTTCCTAATCTTTTATGCTGTATGCATCTTAACAAATAAAGAAAGCATTTGCAAATATGAACATCATCTTCCTTAATAGAAAACAATCTTAAAAATGTTCATCTAGAAGAGAAAATTATGTGATGGGAAAATAATGAAGATATTCCAGAATTCCCAAGCAGCAACACTGGCTGGGGAATTCTGGGAGTTGAAATCCAGGGGTTAATTGATTAAAACAATTGGGATAGTTTTAAAGCTGGGAGGATTCTGTTTATATTTTCTTTTAGTAACTTGGAAAACAAGTTCATATTCCATTTTTGATCAAAATAATATGACAACCTGTATCTTAACTTATTTAATATCATTAGATAAATCGGTAAATGCTTCAGAATTGAATTAATTATGTAAAATTAAACTTTTAAAAATATTCTAGGTGATCATTCTATGGATCTGAACTAAATTCTAGGCTCAGGATCAACGTTTAAATGATGATAAAATGTGAGATGAAAGTGTTTGGCAGTATAGAGACACGTTTCTTGGCTCGACTGGTTTGATTAAAAATAACTTGTTTTGAAAAAGTGAGCTCTTTTTAGGAATACAATAAACAACTAAAGGAAACTTTTTCTACTAATAGTGTTTATTCCCATTCCTGAAAAAATGCAAATATGCTGATTTTGACTGGCATATCAGTTTCCATATTTATTTGTTAGTATTACCTCTGTAGATTTCTTCTGATTCCAAGGGTGTATGCTTGCTTTTAGCAGGCTGAGGGTGTGGCAGGTTATATTCAGTCTTCAGTGTTGGGAAAAGGTGTGAAACACAGACCACCTCCCATCAAGCTACCTTCAAGTTCAGCAAGCAGTTCTTCAGGTAAATACCGTTTCAAAGCACTTTACTTTATATTGAGAAGATATTTGTGGAATAAGTTGTGCTTTGCTTTTTTGAATTTGTTAGTGAATCTTTCAGGGAATTGAACGTACATTTATAACCTTATTGATAGGAAAAGTTGCAAGCAAGCTACTCAGAACACATTCCCCTAGCACAGACATGTCAAACTCGCAACGTTACATGATGTCGCGCGACATATCGAAACTTTTTTCCCATTGCCAGCAATGGGGTGGGCGTGGTTTCCTCGTGATGTGTTCCCCAGCCGGCAGTTTGACACCCCTGCCCTAGCATAATAAATTATATGCCTTCTCCAATGTCCTGTCACTCACTTGATAAGATAAACAGACTGGAAGCTAGAAAAACAGGACTGCATAACAGCTTTCCAGAAAGCTGTGGCAGATAATTTCTCATAGTAGTAACATTGCTTGGAAGAAAGAGAAAAAGACATATTCAGCTTCCTTCCAGTAGGAATAGTGAAACTGCAGTCTAAAGAAGTTACTTACATTTCAAACAAGTGCAAAAAAGTGAGGTGGTTGCATCATTTTTTATAAGCAAGTATTGGATTGCATAACTAATATGTACTGTAGCAAAACTGGGGAAACAACTTTAGAAAATGAAATAATCTTTCTGATGTTGGTTCACAGAACAAATCCATCTATTAATTATGCTTTTCAGGTAATATTTTTAGTCCACAGCAATCAAGCAGTCATCTCAAATCCCCAACTCCTCCTCCTCCTCCTCCTCCTCCTCTTCCTTCTGCTCTTCCTCCTCCTAAGCCTCCCTGTGTATCTCGGAAGCAATCTCTGGATCTGAACCAACTGAGCCTGCTTTCTTCGGCTTCTGGGTCTCCTGCAAGTGCTTCACAAAGTGAGTCTCGCCCTAAATTCTCCATTAAATCTCCATAGGCTTCTCATGGTAAACTTCCTAATCGGCTGATCTGGAGAAACTAAATAGCACATGTCCTAAATTGTGTATTAATTGTGCAGCACAAAGCAGGCCTCTTGTTCACTGTATGTACTCTGTTTGCTGTAATTGTATTTGGTTCTTCTGTATAATTATATATGTATGCACCCTCTGTGTATACATTTTGACTCGTTTTATGCAACCAACCTAGGTCTGTCTTTCATATAGCCTGATGATTAATGTAACCATAGAAGTTTCCAAAATACATATCTTCACTAATATGTCAATAATAGCTCATTAAGACCAATTTACTTTGCATATTTTAAGAAAGTAAAATTATTTGAATGTCATCAATTATGGTGCAGATGTATCTCTATGTGTATATAACATGATCAAGTCTCAATATGGTAATAAAATAAAGTTTATAAATTGATTTTTTAAAACACTCCTATACTGTTTTACAAATCATTGCTGATGACAAAAATTATAGGAATAGTTTCCGGATATTAGTGCAATTTCTTAGATATCTTCTGAGCTGATAGAAAGCTGGTTTGGATTTTTCAGCAGCATCAGTTTGATAAATCTCACAATAAAAATAACGGCTGTGGGTTTTTAACCATCCTTTGAAATTGTGGGAGATGGGGAAAAATCCCTTAGAGCAAGGGTCTTCAAACTTGGCCCTTTTATGATTTTGTGGACTCCAACTCCCAGAATTTCTCAGCCAGCCAGGGCTGGCTGAGGAATTCTGTGAGTTGAAGTCCACAAGTCATAAAAGGGCCAAGTTTGAAGACCCCTGCCTTAGAGTATCTTTTAGACATTTGTCTATTCAGTTCTTTGTCTACTGCATAATGTAGTCTTGTGATTTGCTTGTTGCATAATCTAAAATTGTCAGAAAGGGACTTAACAGATGTCATTTTTATGCCTTCCTGTTTTGCACAAAGAAACTTAAAAGGAGCTTTGGTAAATTTTTCCCAACTATCTGATTAACTTAATTCTCATTCCACTCCTTATATGTAGCTGGGAAATCCCAGGGACTAGATTGGAAGTCAAAAAAGTTTCCTGGAAGAAGGCAATGTCAAGAAAATTTCATGGGTATATCCACGTATTCATCAGGAACCAAACTCAACTTGTGGGAGTGTTTTTTTCTAGATGTATAAGTGTTATTGTATACCCCAGCTTTTAAACATTCACATTTCTTTCCTTTCTTTCTGCAAGACATGAATGCTTAAAAAAAAACCAGAACAAAATTAAAATAGCTTTAGAACTTTTATTGTCTTAATTCCATTGATATTGCTTCGTGCCAACTTTACATTTTAAATGCAATCATTGATTGTTGCTTTCTTTCTGTCTGCAAGTTAAGCAAACCAGTGATGGATAATTATTTGTATTTTCTTTTTCACTGTCCAGATTTTTATTCAAGCTGCTTTTCTAATGTTACATTATTGTGCAGATGTTAAAAGATGTATATGTTACAATGTTAGATTGTTTATTGTTTATAGCATTTTAATGCTTTATTTAAAGAAAATACTGAAATTGACATGAGATAGTTAATAGCAGAGGAGTGATGTAAATGTGTCAACAATGTTAGAATGATTTAATGGAATAAATAGAACTCGAGTTGCAGATTAAGCATAGTGATATTTTTGTGCCATATGCTTCATTCATCAGAAACAGCAATTATTAACCAAGTTGGCTGGGCTGTTGGTGGTGTTTTTTAAGTGGAGTAAAATATCAAGCTAAGTAAGAGTCCACTAACCTTAGTTTTAAAAAAGGACTGGCCTTTTATAACAAACGAGTGCTTTTTATTTTTCTCAATGAGCAGGGTCTGGAACTCCTAAGCCAGCTATTCCTACTCCAACCAACACCCTTTCATCGACCCCACACCCTGCTGATGCTCAGAGCTCAACTCTGATCATCCATTCTGCTACCCTTATTCCCCAAGATTCAGGCTTCACCCCTCAGCCCACTTTACTTACCCCGTTTGCTCAGCAGCAAATGTCTCTGGGCCAGACATTGCCTGTAATGACCATTCCTCTTTCCACCATGGTAACTTCCGTTACTACAGGAACATCTTCCAACCAGGTCATGACAAACACTGCAGGACTTAACTTCATCAATGTAGTGGGCTCTGTGAGGTAAGTTGGTTATTTTATAGCTTATAGTTATTTTCCATCATGTTCCATGTTGCTTTGAGCCCACTGATGAGTGATGAACTTGAGATGGGTTAACCAATTAATGAAATTTAACATATTTTAGTGCATTTATTTCATTCCATGTTCTTAAACATTAGCTGATGATCATAATTATGTGGACATACAAAAAGTAAAGCTTTAGAGTAAGTTTTAGAAAACTGGTTAAGATTAGTGTTATTTTTATTATTTATTGTATTATTTCTATGTGTGTGTAATCTGTCCTCCATTCTTACCATTATTGGAGGTAGAATTAAGAATAAGGAGAGCATCTGGCATTCTGTTCATTCCTTGAGCACTGTTCACATGTTATGTTGTTTAGTTGGCTTTGGGATGGAATATGAGGAACTATAGATATGAAGAGATTTATTCAAGTGAAGCAAAATATTTTGTTGTAACTTGATTAGTAAAACTGCATATTATTTCATGCCATATTAGTCTAATTCTTGCCTATTCCTTTTGTACAGTGGAACACAAACATTAATGAGTGGTTCAAATCCCATGTTGGGGGGTAATACTGGTGCAGCCCCCCCTGCAGGTATAAACCTGAGTAATATTTTACCATCAGGAAATCTGGTGCCAAATGCACTCCCTGCTGCAATGCAGCATACCTCTCAGCCAGGTTAGTATGAAAATCAGACATGCTGTAATGGGATGATGATGATGATGATGATGCCTATTGAAAGTGCAAATTGGGAAAAGAATCTAGAAGGATACTAACTAGTAAATTGCATAGTATATAGTGATGGGCATTAACGCCATCTTAATTATTGCCCTAGGTGGCAGTCTCCCAGAGTTTTTTAAGTTTTGTAGGCATATGCAACTAAATTTTCTAATGTGACACAGACCCAGACAAATTTTAGGAATCATTCTATAAGATAGTGTAGCTTCTGGTAGCTCTACTTTCTTCTCAATCATCTCATAATATTGGAGTAATCATTTTATATAATGGCACTGATCTTCCAAATAACCTGCTGTTAATCAAGTTTTTGATTTAAAATTATTTATGTAAGCATTTTAATTTCATTGGTTTCATAATTTTAGCATTTTGTGATATATTTTTATCTGCTATTATATTTTCAATTTGTGCTTTTAATCAGTTATTTTGTGTGCATTGTATTTAAGCAATTCTTGTGAGGTATTATAAATATAGTAAAGTATTTTTTTTCTATTTCACGTATATTCCTTCCTGTACCCTGATGTGGCAGTAGAGAAAAACTACAATACTCTGAAAGCTTGAATCATTACTAGGATTCAAGAATTAAGGTGTTTTAATTCAGTTTATTGAAACAAGATACATTGTACAGTTTCAGTGCAAATGAACTCTTAAATTTTAAAGTTCATAAATTTCTTTATGAGTTTTAAATACTAAAATATTCCAAATTTTAAAGCTGAGCTTTAAAGTTGGAATATTTTAGCATTTAAAACTCTTTTTTTTTTCTTTTTTACTAGAAGAGGTATTTTGGGGGAAAATAGTTGCTTCTGTTGAAATGGCCAAAATAGTTTTTGCCAATATTAATGGTTAGCTACACTGTTCACTTCCACTTTAGATGTAATTAAAGAAAAAAACCACAACATTTTCTTACCTAAATTAATCTCAGCAGGTGTTCCTTTTGGTTTAAAAAATGCTCCAGGCCTTCGCCCATTGAATCTTCTACAGGTATGATAATATACTTGGGCCTGTTTTCTGTGTGATTTCGCAAGACATTGAGTGGGGAAATTAGATGCAAATACAAACACTCTTATATCCATTGACTAATTAGTAAAACATATTATCCTGTCAAAAATATAGAAGGATATATATATTTCTCTTGACATGAGGTTGGAAAAAAATGTGAAAATAAAAAGTTTTCATTGCCAAACATTGAGGCAAGGACATTGTGGATCTGGAAAGCCAATTGTCTATTTCAAATCTGCAAATATGTGGAGATTTTACAACTAGGGTTAGGAGAAGCTCCCTCTGCTCAACTATCTCACTGCCCATGTTATTATTTTAATTAATTAGCATATTTTTCCATCTATAAGATGCATCCTTGTATAAGACGCTCTGGCATGCGAGCTTCTCTGTGCTGATCAGCTGTTCGGCAGAGTGCTGAACAGCTGAGCTGGCAAACCAAGGAGTTTGGCTGGCTGATGATCTTGCCCCTTCCCGTTAGTGGCAAGCCCACAGGGGCTTGACACCTGCACCAGGTGGCATGGCAACCCACACAGGCATGCCCTGGGCTGCAGAGGTTACCATTATTTTTCTGTGTATAAGACACACCTGATTTTTGAAGAGGGTGTTTGCAGGAAAAAATAGTGTCTTATACACGGAAAAATATGGTAGTTTAAATTTATTGACTGCCCAACGCCAATGACTCCAATGTTGGGATTCTCATTGAATTATTCAAGCTTATTTATAATGACTTTGGAATTTCATTATTAGATAGACTGTCTAATTCAGTGGTTCTTAACCTTTTTGAACAAATCGCCCCCTTGAGCCAATAAGGAAGTTGTCATCGCCCCCCCTCCCCCAACATAACCTCTCAATCACAATATAGGAAATAATTCTTTAATTTATGCAAACCCTTTTTTTGTTTTCTTTAAAATTGTCATTAGGACATATGATGCAAATAATTTATTTCCAGTCTTTTCCCCATATCTCAACTGCGTGAAAAAGTTTGGTGCCACCTGTCACTTTATCCCAAACTTAGCGATACATGTATTTCATTATTATCTTATTTATTCAAGACACTTAAATGTAATGACCACTGAAAACAAAACACTGGGAGCCACAAAACCCTTTTGATATCTAAAATGAAGATAACACTGCATATATCCTTTTTTACCTTTATTATATATATATATCTTCAGTGTTATCTTCATTTTAGATGTCAAAAGGGTCTTTCTCCCTCCCTCCCTCCCTCTCTCTCCCTCTTTCTGCCCTTGGTCTGCTAGTCCTCTTCCTCCACTCAGTGTGTGTGTGTGTGTGTGAGAGAGAGAGAGAGAGAGAGGGGGGGGGGAGAGAGGGAGAGAGAGAGAGGCACTTGTGCTTCCTCTCTCTTTCCTCTCTCTTTCTCTCTCTCTTTTTCTCAGTCCCTTCTCCCTCTCTCTTTATCTCTTTTCTCTCCCTTCCTCCCCCCTTCTTTCTCCAGGTGAGGAGAGAGAGAGAGAGAGAGAGAACGAAAGGCAGAGGGTGCCAAAGGGGCGGGGAGGGGGTGCAGGAGGTAACAGAAGACCCCCTGTCGCAGCTGGAGGCACCCAGCTCCGCTGCCCGCTGGGCCTGCGGGGAGACCCTGGCTCACGGTCACATTGGCAGGCCATCCTACATGCTGCTGGCGTCCCTGGGCTCAATTCAGGGCCATGGGGCATCTGCGGAATGCCCCGCCCGTCGACTGCATCGCCAAGCCTCCCCTTGCGCTGCCGGCATCCCTGGGCTTAAGTCACAGGGCATCCGCGGAATGCCCCCGTCAGCTGCGCCGCCAAACCTCCCGCGCCGCCAGCGTCCTCGGTTGGAACCGGAGCAATGATCCGCCTCCCACCAGGACCAATGCTGGAGCCTCCCATGCTGCTGGAGGTCCGTCGTGCTGGAGGAGCTGGGGCCACTTCGCATCATGCGGCCCTCCTGACAATCCACGACCCACCAGCATTGCCCAGGGAGCAATGCCCCCGCCAGCCGCCGTCCCATCTGGGATTGCCACCTGGGGGGCAGGAGGAGGAAGAAGGGGAGGAGGAGGAGGAGGGCAAGGAAGCCGGCGCCGGGCCCCAGGAGGAGGCGCTCCCACGGGTCCGGCCAGGCTCTTCTGCTGCTGGTTGGAAAATGCCTCCTCCTCCCTTTCTCTCCCCCCCCCATCTTCTGCTCACCTCACATTCTTCACCGATAAAGCAGCTGGGACTCCGGCATGCCTTCCCGGCCAGCTGGGACAACGGTCCGGTCCTGTGGCTGGGGATCGCAGGGGCTGCTCTCCCTCAGGGCCGCAGCTTGCGGGAAGGCTTGCCTGCTCAGCTGAGGCTCTGGCAGGCTGCTCCCAGCGGGAATCCCCGGGCTTCCCTGCGCGGTTCTCCAGCCACATGCACCTCGGACGGGGCCAGCTAGGAAAAGGGACTTCTGGCCGCGCTTCTCCCAGGGGGCAGGGCACCCAGGCACAGAGCCAATCAGGAGCCCTGCGAGGGGGCAAATCCGAGAGAGAGAGAGAGAGAGAGAGAGAGAGAGAGAGAGAGAGAGAGAGAGAGAGAGAGAGAGAGAGAAGTACAAGTGCCTCTCTCTGTCTCTGTCTCTCTCTGCAAATGGCAGAGGAGGCTCGGAGCCGCAGGGGAAGGCTCAAAAGTGTCCCCAAAACTTCTTGCTCCATTGCCCCATATCGCCCCCTTTTCATTCCTTCGCCCCCCCCCGTCTCCCCTTTTTGTTCCATCACCCCCCTGAAAAATGAAATCGCCCCCTGGGGGGCAATATCGCCCAGGTTAAGAACCACTGGTCTAATTGATATTATTTTATTTGGACATTGAGGTCATGAGGATTGGGCTCTTAAAATTTCCTTACTTTCTGAGATACAACTTTGGTCACAAAGAGAATGCTTTCTCCTGTATTGCTGTCAAGCAATGACATGTACTCCCTTCAGAACTGCACTCAGACTTAACTCTGCTTTTAGAAAATATTGAAACACATTCCTCTGAGTTAGATAATTGCCTTTAACTGTTTTTATAAAATTGTGTATGTTACTTTTAGTCTCCTAAGGTAAGGTAAAAGATGGAACATAAATAAAGTATGCAATTTCACAAAGAGATAGTTCTATGGGACATCCAACAAACTAGCTTAAAAGCTCTGCTCAGCACTTGTTCAGTTACATCTCTTACTCCTCCTTCCAGCTGTAACAGATTCCAGGCTTTGGTCTCATTGGAAGTAAACATGTTTTACCTAATGGGAAATAGAATTAGTTCATGTAGGTCAGACATGTCAAACTCGCGACATCGTGTGACATCACGCAACGTATTGGGACTGTTTTGCCATTGCCGGCAATGGGGTGGGCGCAGCTTTTGCATGATGTGTCCAGCCCGTGGGCCAGCAGTTTGACACCCCTGATGTAGGTGATATGAATTCTGCATGCATGTACATCTATTGTTGCATAAAATGATACTTGCTGTGGAAACAACAAAACAACAAAAGTGCTGTGGTCACTTTGATTTAGGTTTACTTTTTAGTGTGATTTTACTCTGTGTAAAATATCTGAATCCTAATTTTCTTGAAGTGGAAAGGGACTAAGGATATTGGGTGCTCACAAATATAAATTCTAAATTCTGTATATTTGAGTGCATCACAAATAAAATACGCAACCCTGCCAACACCTAATATCTCTTTAAACTTGAACAGCTTGCAGGTGGCTCACTGATATTCAACCCTGTCCAACAGCAGCAACAACAACTCTCCCAGTTTTCATCTCAGCTGCCTACAACTTCTAGTCCTCAGCCACAGGGAGATCAGGTAGGCATACCCACTGAGAATAATATGATAAAAAATAAGCCATATGTTTGCATGTAGATATCAACATGATTCCTTTATGTTGATGATATCACTGGGGAGCTAATCTCCACAACACAATGGAGCTGTCTTCAAAGAAAAGTTATTGTGTATGTGTAAAAGTTTCTGTATGGCCTGGAATCCTGGTAATGTAATTTCAGCTCATAGGGAATGTTGTCTGCCACAGGGAGCCTTCCCATATCTGCAGTTACATTGTACCCTTAGACAACCAGCTGGTTTTCTGACATTGATAACCCATCATTCCAAAGAGGGAAGGGCTGCTTAACATTGTTCATATCAGCTTCCGCCGGGGAGCGACGTTGATGGCGGCTGCCTTGTAGCCGTCCTCCTGGGACGGCGTTAGATCCGTGGTGTGCAGCGAAAATCAACTGGCCCGCGGCTCGGAATCCCCTTCCCGGGCGAAGGGAAGGGGCAGAGATTGCAAGAATAGAGGTAGAACCTCTTAGCCCCCTCTGGATTTTTCTTTTGAGGGGACAGAAAGAGCGTTCCCTCGGAGTTCCTGCTTTCTCCGCCTCCCAGCTGTTTTTGCCTCTTCGGAGGCAAAAGGAAACGCCGCTACCAGCTCCGTGTTTAAAGTCTTCTGGTGAGTAATTTTTAAAGCGGACAGAGCAGTTTAAAGGATTTCTTTTTAGTTTAGTACAAATTTCAGACATAAATAAATATTTAAGTGAGGCTAACTTTCCTAAATTGACAGAAGATCAGAAGCAAGAAATTAATGGTCCAATTACCAATGAGGAGATTGTGACGGTTATTAAGCAATTAAAATTAGGTAAAGCGCCAGGTACGGATGGCTTGACATCTATTTATTATAAAACTTTAGTTGAAGAGATGACTCAACCTTTTGTTGAGCTTTTTAATAATATATTGCAGGGTGCAGAGATCCCTCCATCATGGCGCAGTGCTTTTATATCCTTGATTCCAAAAGAGGATCAAGATCTTACTTTACCAAGGAATTATAGACCTATATCTCTTTTAAATGTAGATTATAAGATTTTTGCAAAAATTTTAGCTAATAGGCTTATGAAGGTTGTGCATCAGCTTATACATAAGGATCAATCGGGTTTTATAACTGGCAGGTACATGAAAAATAATGCTAGACAAATTATTAACATATTAGAATATTTAGATAAGAACAACCAAGTCCCTGCAGGGCTGATATTCTTAGATGCTGAAAAAGCTTTTGATCAATTGAACTGGTATTTTATGTTAAGAGCAATTGAGGAGATGAACTTTGGAGGGAAAATATTACAAGCTTTTACTGCTATATATCAAAAGCAAACGGCACAACTTATTGTTAATGGGGGTTTGTCAGAGGTTTTTACAATAGAAAAAGGTACTAGACAGGGATGTCCTCTGTCACCTTTGCTGTTTGTTTTAACATTGGAAATTTTGTTGATTAAAATCCGAGAATCGCAGGAAATAAGAGGAATAGAAGTTAATAAAAAAGAGTACAAGTTAAGAGCTTTTGCAGATGACTTGGTGGTTACTTTATCTCAACCTACCCATTCTGTAGTTAACTTACTACAGCTGATTCGTCAATATGGACTTGTTTCGGGCTTTAAAATTAATAATAATAAGACTAAAATATTAGCTAAAAATATGACTATTCAGGACAAACAGACTTTGCTGAGTTGACTGGTTTTGAAATTGTTGATAAGACAAAATATTTGGGGGTCACTTTATCTGTTTCTAATGCAAAATTGTTTAAGAATAATTATGAAAGGCTGTGGGCCAGTATACAGAAGGACTTGAGGAATTGGGAGAAGTTACAGTTATCTCTCATGGGACGAATTGCAGTGATTAAAATGAACGTCCTGCCCAAATTTCTCTTTTTGTTTCAAATGTTACCTATTTTAAAGAATGAGGTTAATTTGAATGAATGGCAGAAAGGTATTAACAAATTTATTTGGGCAGGGAAAAAACCAAGGGTAAAATTTAAAATTATGCAGGACTTCCGTGAGAGAGGTGGACTCAAGGTACCGAATTTGAAATTATATTATGAACTTAACAAATTCAGAGATACTCCATTTGGAGGGATGGGATTTACTCTTTGGTTGGCATGCCTATTTAATATTTAATAAAAAAGTGGATCGGGCTTTTAAATCTCATATTTTAAGGATTTCTCTACTTAGAGTCTGGAGGAAATATTATAAAAGTGATTTTAAAATACCATTATGTGCCATACCTTGGCATGCGATAGAGGGGATAAAGAGAGGTGTTAAAATGGATACGGTGTCTTATACACAATTACTTAGATGGGATGGTCTAAATTGGCAGTTAAAATCTCTGGAAGATTTGTTACATGAAAATATTACCTATTCTTGGTTTCAATATAGACAACTATTAGATAGATGGAAGATGGATCGTAATTTAGGTTTGCTTAGAGAAGATCAAAATCTTTTCAAGCAAGTAAAGGATCAAAGACAAACTCATATTAAAAGAATTTATGGGGTGCTAGTGGAACTGGATTCAGAATCAGAATTAATTAAAGATTGTATGATTAAATGGGCGCAGAATTTTGGTGAACCAGTTCTACTGGATACTTGGGAAACTATCTGGGTGAGAAATGTTAAATTTACACAAGCCCAGAATTTAAGGGAGAATTTTTATAAAATGTTTTATAGATGGCACCTTGATCCACAAAAGATGTCTCTCATGTATCCTGACTTACAGCCTAAATGTTGGAGATGTGGCTGTTTGGATGCCACTTATTATCATATTTGGTGGTCGTGTAACTCTACTTTTTTTTTCTTTGCTTTGCTTTTTTTTAAAATATTTTTTCTTTTTAAGGTTTATAATTCTTTATTCATATATATTTTGTTCTTAATTATCTTATAATTTTGTTAATTTCTTTTAATTAAGCCTATATTCTGCTCTGGGAAGCTGGGGGGGGGGAGGGAGGGGGTGATTTGGGAGGGGTTGGGGGAGGGTTGTATTGTTTTGTTTTTTGTTTTTTTGTCTTATTGTAGTTGTCATTGTTTTTCTGTCTTTGTAAAAGTTTTTAAAAAAATTTTCAATAAAAAAAAACATTGTTCATATGTTCAGTTGCACATGCAATAGCATTTAGCAATATAAGCTATTTAGCAGTAGCTTATATAAAGCCCCATAGTGCTTTTGTCATGCCCCTGTTGGAGCCTGAATCTGCTAAGGAAGATGAGCTGGAACTGGAGCCGATGGAGATCAAGATCGAGGGGGAAGCATCATTGGCTTTGGAGGAATATGGGGAGGAGCAGGCCGAGGCAGGACAGGGCCTTTCAGGATTGGGACTGCTTGAAGGCAGGGAGGAACAGAGGCAGGATGAACATGAGAGACAGAGCTCAGAGGATGAGCAAGGGCCACCCCCTCCTGATCCTAGAGAGTGGAGAGGAGGGAACAACGCAGGCAGGCCCGACTACTTGGGAGGAGAGCGCCCTGCCCCTCTCCACAAGGCACACCTGGGGATGAGACTTAAGGAGACACTGTGGGGAGGGGCATTTGTTGGGAACAAATGCTGAATTATTGGAGGTTTGTGTGCTATTGCTGACGTTGGAAACAATTCTCTGATCTCTTGTTCTGTGTTGTGATTTCTACTTGTAAACCCTGAAACTCTGACCATTGGACTGGCTGACAAACTTGATTTGGTGCTCCAAACCTCAGATTGAATTTTGGCTTCTCTTCTGAAACTACTCAGGCAAGCTTGTATTTTCACAGACTCTTAGATTTTGATGTGGATTCCTTTCTTTGTTATCTACTTGGCCTTGAATAAATTGCTGTTCTAAACTAGCCACTGTGTGTGAGTCGAAAACCTGAAAAAAGACTGCTTGTTCCATACAGTTTTCCTGCCTGAGAGACTTGAAAAACTTTTGAAACTATTTGCAGCCAGAGGCTGCTGAAGGTGTGTGTATATTTACTTGTTCTGGGACTTGCCAGAAACATGGGAGCATTTGAGGAACATTTGGAGCAATAAAGGGGTAGTTTGAACTGCCAGCTGACTGTGTTGCCTCTGTGCTGTGCCCTGGGTCATCACAGCTTTATAGCACTATCTGCGTGGTTTACAATATAGAAGCTTTATTTTCATATTGCCCCCACAATCTTGGTCCTCATTTTACTGACCTCAAAAGGATGGAAGGTGTCAGAATCCAATTATATTTCATCTTTATTATCAAACATAGAAACTCCCAATTCTGCCTTCTCTGGATTCTGCCATAAGAGGGAGAAAAGGGGGAGAGCAAGGGGCTTTATGCCCTCACTTCCTTCAGCACACTTCAAGGACTGAATGTGTGTTATTGTGGCCTCTAAGCTTTAACATATCAAAGAAGAGTAATTGCCTTTCATGTAGTTATCTGAAGTCTCCATCCAGACGGAAGAAGAAAGGGGATGGAATTGTGATACTTGAAACTATCACTGGAAGGGGGGTTGATTGGGTGGGACTACTGGGGAACCCCTTAAAACCTTGAATGGGAGAGCTTGGACCCCAAGTCCTGTCTAGCATGCCTGCAACCATTTTCTCTTAATAAAGGATTCCTGTTGGAAGAATTATTCCAAGAGTTCTGTCTTCTTAAGATGCAAAGTGGGTGGGTCCTTACATTAGACAGGACTTGCAAAATTAATCCACCTGGAAGGAAGACCCTTGCCGGGGGATTTTGCAAAAATTTACCATGTCAGACAATGGAGCAAAAGAGGGGGAAACTCCCTGGAAAGAGAGCCGCTGACCCAGTTGGAACCTTGCCAGATGTTGGGATCCGAGAGGCCAGATTCCTCAGGAGAAGAAGTGGTGGAGACACAGGACCACAAGCCTCGCTGGTCGATGGGCGTTGGAAAGAAAAGTGAGTGGGGAAAGGAATCAAGAAAGGTGACCCTGAGACGGGGGACCAAGCAACCAGAATGGAAGCAGGAGATGGAGAAATCCCTGCACGCAAGTGAAGAGGGAGGAAGCTGGGCACCGTACTCAGACTGGATCCTAG